TCCTCAAATAACGTTAAATATTTGACTTAAAGAAAAGACTATACCGGAATGATAAAACGTCACGTGTTGAGCAGTCTTTTTTTGTACCCAAAAACAACTCCCAAAATGTGTGACCTCCGTAGAAAAGTCAGTGACAAACAATCCTGAAACGTGACTTTACGGCCTTGGCCTTCGTTTCGATTTGAAATAGCTGTTATCTGATTTGAGCATATTCTTTTAACAATAATCTTATTATAATTTGGGTTATAATTGCAGTTGCTTATATTACAGCTCATTGCCTCACTTGACTTTTGAAGTGATCTTTTGCACTTTTTTTTTTCACAAAATAGAGATGAGCACGTAGATTCTGTCTCCCGAAATTCTCATTCATTTTTCATTTTACTTTGAGATTTTTTGCGATTCAAATACCATGGTTCTAAAATAAATAATTCATTATGTTTGATTCTTTGATCCGTAAATGTTCCACATAAAGACATTTCAGTCATATTTCATCCCAAAGTAAATTGCATTTGGTAAAACTAAGAGATGACAGAAATTAGCGAAAAATTTACCTATGTATCCGACGAAAGAACGGAGGTTTGAAAAAATAATGAAATTCAATGCTTGATTAAAAATTGTCCTGATAGAGAGGGAGATTTGAACATAACAATTTGTAAAAGAGAGGAAGTAATATTTTGCTTAACTCTTGGATTATTGTTGGGTTTTTCTCGGAGATATCTGGTTTTCGTCCCTCACCGAACAAAACTCAGCACTTATGTTAATCGGAAGCCGCTCGATATGTCGAGTTCATTCCAAAAGACACTTCAGTTTTACGTAGCACGAGGTGCACCTCTTTAGCACTCTATAATTTCCTGTCAAATTGTACGATGGATAATCAAACGTGTAGCACTGTCACCAGCATTAGTCAAAACAGGTATGATATCCAGACGGATAAAAAGGAAAATTAACACATAACCAAAGCAAAGAAAAAGCAAGAGGTTCATGTGTCCTCTTTCAACTAGAACAGAACAAACAGGTGGTCATCCAGACAAGTTCTCCGATATTCATTCATTCTCTGTTTTTATTTATTTATTTATTTTTCTAGTAATCTCTCTCTTAGTGCTTTCTTCTTCTTCACAGATTCCGTTTACCTCTTATTTTTTTTAGTCAACTCAATTTTGTATTTCAAATTCACACCACACCATTTTCAAACAAACACGTCATTACCCCTTTGTTGGTTCGGAGAATTTGGTATTAGATCAACTGATAAACCCCGTATTGATAACTGTCTTTATTCTCATCTTGTCTGCGTGACATTGCATTGGCTTTGTCAGCTGCTGGTCCAGGGAAATTCTGTCTTGATCACTCTAGGAGTTGAAGGGTCAATATTTTCTGAACTGAAATGATGCCGATAACTTTCCAGAGCATCTCACTCCTCTAGAAGACCTAAAAGAAGCTTTTTAAGCGCTATATCCGCTTTCAATTCAAATCTTATGTGCCAGCTGTTTGATTTGGTTGATTATGTCTGATTTAAAGGAGATTATAAAATTGTTGTCGGAGGTGATTCAGTTGTGTAGAGTCAGAGCTGAAGACATCAAAGTGCCATCAAAAGTAGCAACACTTCAAGTTTTAGACACACGAAACGCCTAAAGTTTGTAAAAAAATACTATGTACATAATTTGTTTAGTTTCTGCATCGTAGGATGTTTCTTTCTTGGTTTTTTAAGAATTCTTTCTGTAGTTTCGGGCTCAACTGACGCGGCTGAGGATTATGCGAGTTCCGTCAAATCTTACATGACTGAAATTGAATATTTATCCAGCCACTCAATTAGAAAAAAAAATGCATTCTTCATGATAAACTGAAAGAGGTCAGCAACACTAAAAAACTTGGCTGCACATAGGATTCGCTCACGTCATGAAGTCGGACATAGATGTTGCTTGAACTTGTTCTGATCAAGTTTTAATCTCTGAGAGGTAACCGTAAACGAGTGATCTTCCATAAACAACGGCCACATATGGATAACCTCTGACCATGTTTAATAGCAAGGGCTTAAAGACGCCCGAAATTGAATGTAATGAAACAAGTATTCTCTCTCTGGAATACTTAAAATAGTTACATTTCGATCTATGTCCTTGAAAAGCGCTGTGCTGGAAATAAAGTCACGCGAAACACATAAATAAGCGATTACAGCATCTGAGAGAAAACCTGGTGATCCTTATCAGGGCATGTAATCCCTAACAAAAGAAATAATCTCATCATATTTGAAAGGGCCTATGCTGTGCGCTGAAAGGCTTTGTTGATCAAACTAGGCTAAATATAGCTGCGGCTAAGCAAGCAAACCCGGCTTTTTTGGACAGAAGCCATTTCAAAGCTCGGTATTGCTGAGAAAGCACAAAACTCTTCAGCGCTGAAAAAAAAAACGGGAAGTTTTGTTGTTTAATCATGATCAGAAGATAAAATGTATGTTTCCGAGAATTACCGCTTAGAAATCTTATTTGTTCACATGAGAAAACCTTTTGAAATGATTTCGTCATTTGCTCTAGCATCTGACCCTGAAATCCACACCGTACTTTAACACAATTAAAATTAAATCGCACTCACTCAGCGGACTGTAATTAGGTGTAGGTGACTCGCAACAATTCAGACAATTTAGTTTTTTGTTTTTTTTGATATCGTTTTATTCCTTCGATCTGGTTTTTGATAAAAGAATTAGTACATAATTTCGGTATTTTCATAAAAGAGAAAGAAACGAACTTCATAAGAACAAAAACCGCTCCAGTGATAAAATTATTAATCCATGAAGGATGTGAAGTAACGCTGGAACTTACTTAGAAATGTCTGCTTGAAAAATCTATTTGCGGAACAGCACGCCAGGACGGGACTAATTTTCTCTGTGTAAAATTGTCTTATCTAATTGTCCATGTGAGCGCGATACAAGGGGAACCTGTTAAAACTTGTCATGGGTCACTTGAAACAGTTTCCTAGAAATTAACAAATTTTTAAATGGACATTTGCCAAAGTCATTCATCGTTCAGAAAAAGCAAATTTGAAATTTGGATCAGAAAAATCAAAAATAACACTAAACACTAACACTTTTTCGAGTTTATTTACTCGCAAATTTACAGAGCGATTCAACTTCTGACATTTTCGCTGATTAAACATTTAAGCGAAGCAAGTAACTTTGGCACTTCGGAAAACATATGGTACATTAGTGACGGATGCAAAGGCATTACCTGAGCCTCGCGTGTGATTCGTTTATTTGACGAAAAATTTCCAAATTCGAATCAAAACTCAAGGAAGCGATCAAGGATTACGGACATGTATTCATTGCATGGAGAAAACCGTTCTATTTCTTCTAGAATATGTCCTGCTGTTGTTTCAAATTTTCAAATTATTGCTTCCCGGCATTACTTTTAAATTTTTGTTACAAAGTCCTTACATAAAACGACAGATTTTACAATAAATTTTTTTATTTAATTGAATCTTACATCAATAATTGCCGAACGATGTCAAAGCTAAGCAACTTTTGGTTTAAAGAAAAGATAAATTTATCATTAAATCAGATTCGGTAGAAGTGTCACTTTATTTCTTTGAAAGCAGTTTTGTAACGCGCCTGCCAAACTGCTCTTAATTCGACGGCGGTATTTTGCCACAAGCTTTGCATGACAGGCTCCCTGTTTAATGAATTAATTTCGGCCACTTAATGTCAGTAACTAATGAAGTGAGACGTTAGAACTGTTCAAGCACAATAGTCGAGCTCTCATGTTTGTCACCAAACATTCGTCAAAAATGGCAATAAATTGAATTTATTTTACAAGTTAGAATAAAGCTTTGAGCACCTTCTTGACTGCTGGAAATTTGATACTAGTGTTTCTTAATAGCTAACTCTCTGATGCATTTTTCCCAGAGAAATACGCTCGTCGCAGCGTAGGCGGTCGATTTGTGTTCCTCACAACAGACTAGAAGGTTTCAGGAGAAAAGTCGTCATAGTTTATTATTTTTCTTATCTGAACAGAATAAATGGCCTCAATTCATTATTCCACGTTAATCGTCTTACATAAAACACTTAATCGGCTGTAAAATTATATGTTTGCTCGTTTAAAACACATTAATTTGTAGTACTAATTACGAATGTTCTTGACTGTTTGTGATAGAATACGGTTGCCAAGTGGATCCTTTTCGTCGCTCTGTGACAAAATAACTCTTAAACTGGATGTTCACTTTTGTAGATGACTTAAGCGCCAGATTAATTTCTCTAACTGTTTCTCTCTTCAAGGAGGCTGCTCATCATTCAACACTCTATTTTTGTGGCCAAAGGGCGAATCATGTGCCTAAGCTCGTCACCAACTGAAATGGATCATTTTGAAGAATACGTCATTTTGTGGTTGACCTTCTAAGGGAAAAAAGATGTTGAGGGCAGACTTTGAGCTGGAGTTTCTCGGAAGTACCGTGACGCAAGGGAAAAACCCATCGGTTACGTAAATTGAGCATGTATAAATCACGAGGGATTTGTGAATTCTGTGTGATTTGGAACAAGTTGGGGCGTGAATTGTAGGGTCATCGCTAAATAATACTGGCTGAACCCCGAAGTTTTAGGGTGAATAAACAAAAGAAGCTGACAAAATGCTTTGTAAGCTGAAAGAAAACAACGTTTGTTTGTTGTTCAAATGCTTGAGATCCAGCAATGTACTTGTAAGAGATTAAAATCCGTCAGCAATTCGCGATCGAAGCGTATAGCATCGCACCACATCTCTGCTTATCAAAAATTAACACTTTCGAAAACGGAGCCAATTTTCATTATCCTTTCCACTGACGCTGGCCCAGCGCGCAATCTATCGAACAAACAAACAGAACTGGTCTGTGTAATAACAAAATTACATTACATTTAATTTGTAAAAGAGATCTCTTCCGTCATTGGTTCGCTCTTGATGGGGTCGCACTAAGCCTGTCAGCTCTCACGTGACACTGGTTGTATTTAGACAGAGCGCTTGCGTATATCTACCAGTTTATAACTACACGTGATGACTATCAACCAAGTGGCTACACGGAGCTCTCGACAAATGGGGGAAGAAATGGCGTCCAAGATTGAAGAGGGCTCCGATAGAGGTACAGATGGAGTTGCTGGAACGCCTAAAGAAGCAGCTCTTCGAGAGCTCATGAATAGAACGAAATATCCGATTCGGCAGTTCAACGGGCAACGAAGATATGGACCTCCACCGAGTTGGGATGCACCACCCCCTCCACGTGGATGTGAAGTTTTTGTAGGCAAAGTTCCTCGTGATTTGTACGAAGATGAATTGGTTCCAGTATTTGAAACTTTTGGCAAAATCTACGAGGTCCGACTCATGATGGATTTTAACGGACAAAATCGCGGATACGCTTTCGTTGTTTACACTAACAAGGAAGACGCCAAGAAAAGTGTCAAGGCTTTGAACAATTACGAAATTCGCAAAGGGAAATGTATTGGAGTTTGTAGCTCGGTAGACAATTGCCGGCTTTTTGTCGGAGGTATTCCCAAGAAGGTTAAGAAGGACGAGATCATGAACGAAATGATGAAAGTTACAGAAAGCGTTGTGGACGTAATTGTTTACCCTTCGGCGCAGGACAAGACGAAGAACCGAGGGTTTGCTTTCGTCGAGTACAGCTCGCATCGCGACGCTGCTATGGCCAGGAGAAAACTCATGACGGGTAAAATACAGCTCTGGGGACATCAAATCGCCGTTGATTGGGCTGAGCCAGAGCAAGAAGTTGACGAAGAAATTATGGATCAGGTTTGTAATTTATATTTACTACTGTGTTACATCGTTACCCAAAAGTTGCCCCTCCCCCTATCTTCGCCGCTCGCAAGGCTCTTGCGACGTCGCCGGTTTTCTACGTTCCTTTTTAAACTACTTGTGTTTGCTGGGGAACCTGAAATTTGTTTTGGGTAATTTCAGTATGAGTCTAAACAAAACAGTCGGTGCTTGTTTTGTGATGCGTTTGTGCGCTGTAGAGAAGTTTATTTGTTGATGTCGTGTTAGCCTTGTTCCTTTGTTCAACGAAGCTTGTGTCTGTCGTTGTTAAGCATTAGCTTTCTATTGAAGTAATTAGTTACTCTGTGTTGTCTTTTGTCGTTTCGGGACGATTATGTCGGGAACGCGATTCAATACAAAGCTATAAGCGGCCGCTTTACTTCAATAGAACCGCAACCTATCGATTTAATTCGTACCATTTTGGCTTTGTTTTTAAGGTGAAAGTTCTCTACGCCCGAAATCTCCTATTAAGCACGACGGAAGACACGATAGAACAAGTTTTCAGCAAATTTGGCGATGTTGAACGAGTCAAGAAGATCAAAGATTACAGTTTTATTCACTTTCGAACGAAGGAACAAGCCAGAGCAGCTCTGGAGGCAATGAACGGTAATAAAAGTTTCATGTTTATGTTTTGTGGATCGATAAGTTTTGCAACAGGTAAGGGGAGGGTTTGATGAAGCTTGTGAATACATTCCCCGTGGTCGGTCAACGAAAACCCGCTTCCTTTCTGTGTACCAGAATCATTTGTTTTCTATTTCCATTGTTTAGCCTAATATAAAATTTCACACTTCAATTCCCAACTTTTGTTTCGCGGTTGTTGTGAAAAAAAGTCTCCCGGGGGATAAAAATTTCTCGTGTGAAGTTAATGCGGCGTGCGATGTTTTATATCGATCGAGCTCTTGATCTTTTCCTTCTCAATACCAGCAAAGAAAACACTGCAACCTGTCTTAAAGCAGGGGATTATGAAGTTCTTACTTGTCTATTAGCAATTGCAAGGTTTTTTTTAGCTACGTGCGTTTTCCCTTATATCGCAGTTACCCTAGTGATGTGAAACTAAATACTCCTCATTCGAACGTGCCTCTGTTTATATTTTTGAGTCATTTGATACTTATGTTATTTCTCTAACTGGAGGTCCAAAATTTCGATCTTTCCGTTCAGTCGGCACGGTATCACTAACCTTTCTTTTAAAAAAGGAAACATCAATTTGCGATAATTTTTATTGGTACTCCCTGAAACATCTGTTGAAACAATTCTCTCCTAACACGAAAGGATGCAACTTTGTGCCTCTCGCATGGCGGCGTGGGAAGTCATGAGAGTTAACGCAGAACATAATGTAATCATTCTCTTTCTAGAATGTTTTCACTTTCGCGTACTAGTATGTAAAAGTATTCGATACTATCCTTATTGCTTCTCTACTTTGATTACGAATGTACCCAATGTTTCGTAGTTTTGAAAACGCAGTTTCGTCCCTAGAGAGCAAGGACCTACTTATATGCAAGACTACCGGAAGCGTGCTTGTCGCCCTAAGTGGATTTAATTCCATGCGAAAATCCACATCTAGCTATAGACTTCCTTTCTTTGTTGCGCACTCGTTTTTTCTCGTGTTTTCAAGGATTTTTTCAATTACCCTTCACCTTAAAGAATTTTTTGCATCTGCTGTTTGTCTTTCCTCAGATTTCTTCAACTCTTTCTCAAAAATTTTCGAGTTAACAAAATCAATTTACGTTTTGCAACACAGAATCTTTCAAGTGTAAATGCATTTTATATGTGGACTTAAATTCTTACTTATCTGAATGGTAGCGTTAAATACTTAGGGAATTATTGGTGTTTCTTACCGTAAACGATTCAGATATTAAGCAAATTAATCTCTTCAAAAACTTGTGAAGATGCTAGTGTTTAAGAAATAAGCTCACTATTGAGATGTTGTGATAAATTTCAGAGGTATGAGAAAGTTTTTTTATCGTTAAATTTTATTTAATCCCTCTATCTTGACAATATCATATTATGGCTAGGATGAAAATTACTTTTACATTGATTAAAGTGGGAAAATTGATCCTTTGTTGAATTTATTTGAGTAAGCAAGCTTTGAAGGATTGCTTTTGAAAACTTTGGTATAATTTTTGTTTGCCAGATGCTCATTGCTCTTTGTAAAATTTCAAATTATTCCAAATTCTATTTTCTGGATTCTATTTCAGGAAAGAAATCAATTTTCTCTGTGTTTCCCCTTTACCTCCCTTCAATATCCTTTGACCCCAAAGAGTGGTTGGCATCAAATTTCTCCTTACAGTATCACCCCCTGAATCACATTTTACAGTCATGCAAATAGGGAAATGATCACCAATTGAAGAAAGTCTGATTGTGAAACAAACTCTCCTTGTCAATACTGTAATAATTCTATGGAGAATAGTGTGGAGAATGTGCACATTTATGTTGGGGTGTGAAGGATTTTGAAGACAATTGTTACTCTTAAAAAATTGTTCAGTTGGGTGCTAAATGAAAAGTCAAAGGAGTGAAGGAATCTTGCATCAAGTGCGAATAGGTTTTGCTTTGAATTTGGAAATTTTTCAGGAATCTTTTCCTGCATATGCTATTTTTGCTGTGTTTTGAATGAACTAATTGTCATAATTTTTCTGTTCAAGAACAATTAAGTATCAAGAAAGCATAAGTGGTAGTAGTTGAGTTTACAGGGGGGACTACACAAAAGATAAATTTATGCTGGTTAATTTGAGTGCATTGTGAGACTATGAATACAAATTGACTTTTGATATGGAGTTTCTCATTTGATTAAATGTTCCAGTCTGACCCTGTAACATACAGAGGAGGGCTGAAATCCACTTGCTAGGGCATTTCTAAAATTTTGTCACGATGGTGGGAATACTGTGGCTTTTTGTCAGCATAGCAGCACTACATTTTGGTTGTGGAAGTAATAAGAAAAAATTTGCAACTGACTTAACAGTGTAGGTCACCAATTCTGTGACCTTTGTTTGGTAAATATGGAGTAATATATATTTGCTATACACCTGTTCAAACAAATGTACTCCTAAAATCTCCTAGATATTCTCCATATTGTCTGCCTTACAATTTGTGTGTTACAACTATTGTATGGAGAAATTCTGTCTTGGTCACGCACGGGAGCTAAAAGGTTGCACAATTTTGCTTATTTAAACTCATTTTAAGGATCATTTGAGTCCCACAGTATCATATCAGTGTTGAGTACTTGAACCCTGTGGCATTCTACCTTATTTATTGCCACAATGTTTGAACATAGGGGATTGTTATTGAATATCAATGATAATAATGTACATGAAAAAATTACATGTTTTTGATTGGGTGAAGATGAGTGCATTCCTATATAACACAAGTGCAAAGTTGTAATACAAGTGCAAATTACAGTTGCACAAGAGTGCACATGTCTGTCTTGCCTTTCTTTGTTGTTTTTTCATGTAAATCATTAACAAGTAACAACATGATTTCTCTTGCAGTTTGGTGTAATATGCACTTGTAAATTTTGCAAAGGCTAAAAATTGCACTTGCCCTATGGGCTCGCACAATTTACTTGTGCTTGTTAACTCCAAATTATACTTAAAATCATTTTATTACCTATACAAATTTCAACATGTCTTTGGGTTCAGCATGTATTAGGCCATGATTGCACTCTCTGCAAGTTTAAAGTAGTGTGAAGTGAGCAGGGGTCTAACAATGTTGTTTGTTTGTGTTAGGTGAAGAATTGGATGGAAATGAAATTGAAGTAACCCTTGCCAAGCCTGTGGATAAGGACCATCGCCAAGCCAAAGCAGCGGCAAAAGCAATCATGACGGCAACAACATACCCCAGCTTAGCTCCATATGATTACTCGGCAAGCACGGTACCTGGATATGGTTTCCCAGCTTATGGCAGTCAGTACTTTATGTATGGAGCTCCCATGACAACAGGAGTGGGGTAGGAGTTTTACATCTTTGGGTTCTCATCTTATACTTGTTGTTGCATTTTCATGGTACTCATTTGTTGGGCTGCCTGTGGTTGCCTGTGAGATAGGATAGGCTTAAAAAAGGAGAGAGGGATGTGTGTGTTTGAAAATGGCTGAAAGGTGTTGTTGTGGCTTACAAGCAAATGAAAGAGTGTTGCAGTATCGTCAAAGTATAAAGATATAAATAGCCAATCAGGATGGAAATCTAACAAGGAGCCAATGAACACTCCGAGTTAATCTTAGCAAAGTGACTCAGGTGCTGTTGTATACATGTGCCAAGTCACCAGTGGTCTTATGGGATAGGCTTCAAAAAGGAGAGAGAGATGTGTGTGTTTGAAAATGGCTGAAAGGTATTGTTGTGGTTTACAAGCGAATGAAAAGAGTGTTGCAGTATCGTCAAACTATAAAGATATTAATAGTCAATCAGGATGGAAATCCAACAAGGAGCCAATGAACACTCCAAATTAATCGGAGCAAAGTGACTCAGGTGCTATTGTGTACAAGTGCCAAGTCACAAGTGGTAGGTTAATTTTGGACAGATGGAGAAGCGGTGGAGGTTTTACTGTAGGTTATTAAAGCAAAGTGAATTGGCAAAACTAAAGCAGTGTGGAATTTGTTTAAATACTTTGAATTATGGAATCAACTTTTTCTTTTGTTCTTAATTTTATCAACCTTCCATAAGGTTATAGACTTGTCTTCTCTAAGGGAGAAAAAACTAACTGGTGGACAATAAATATTGCATGGAATGTTTTAATGTAGATGATTTATTGGAGAATGTATTTTTTGAGTGGCAATGTGAAAATCATAAACACAAAAGTGGTGAAAGTTGTGACATTATGGCCTTCCTTTATTTTTGTTTAAATTTATTTTCTCTGTCCAGAGGTGTGAGGCCTCCTTTTGGAATGGTAAGAGCAAGAGGACGAGGACGTTCAGCTGCTGGTAGCAGGGCAGCAGGAAATAAGGGAGTGTATTTACCTTCTCCAGGTGGATATTCATTCAATGGTTTTAGGAGCTACTACCCAGCAGTGCGAGGAGGCTGGTATGGAGATGGTTACAACAAACGAGGAGGAAGACAGGAGGTTTGTAACAATTTGGTATTTATTCCATACGGTTCTAGTTATAAATGTGGAAGTTGCTAGCTAATTGATGGTGTGCTTATCTTTCACTAAAAGTCAAACTCAGTGTGATTGATGCCTCCTATTTCTCCTTGGTAAGTTTAAAGGGGCTATGTCAGAATTGAGGATTTAAAAAGTCTTGCCTCAGTTGTACAAATTTACAGATGAACATTTTTAGGAAATGGTCTTCATCCTTACCAGTACTGATTTGTTTAGTAATATTTTTTGAAAAGCTGAGTAGTAAAATCTGTAAACAACATCACTCCAATATTAAAAATCAGTAAGTATCAAAAAGATTTTTACATTGAAGTTGTATTTTTCGAGAACCAATCAATACACAACCATAGATTACATACGTGCCATGTGTAAGAGTTTGAGTTTCAACTTTGAAAATTGGACTTTTTGAATGTAGGAACGTATGTTTGATCTGGTGCCGGGAATGGAGTTGACACCCACTAACCCCATGACATTGAAGCCACATGCCCTGAAATCACCAGCTCAGGTGGGAAGCTTCACATTGTCATTTTTTGTAGATATCTCCTTCATTGTTTAAAGGGAAAAAAAAGAGGGAAAGAAGTGCAACTGGTTGGTTACAAAAAAAAGATCAAACATCAATATATTTCCCATTGTGTGAAGCTTTTACTGATTGAATTAACTGAACATAATTGGACAGGCTAAACTTGGTCAATTGGATGGTTATTAATGTAAATTTGTTTACTTGATCAAAGGTTCTAGAAGATGTGTGTCAGAAGAACCAGTGGGGTAGCCCTGTGTACACACTGCACAGTACTGTGGGACCACAGGACATTCAGCTTTTCCTTCACAAGGTTAGAAAAGGCTTAAGTGATTGAAAGGAATTTGCAAGTACATTTTGTGAAGAATCAAGGCTCAATCAACATCAGTTTGGCTTTTTGTTTGTGTTTTCATACTACTTGTTACATAAGCCTAAGTCATAACCTACTATCACAGAGCATCTTTCCATAGCTCCAAAAATAATCCTCACTTTTCCTGCTTAAGTCATAAGGGACCCCCTCACTACATCATGACTTATGGACACTCAAAGATTTGCTATCTTTGACAAAGTGCTTTCTTGATAAATGAATGAGAGGGTAATAAGTTTCTAAAGAAGCTGTGTTGCTGAGTTGGTGGGAGTAGCAGCCAATTTACCTTGCCAACACAGGTGATAAAACCAATTTACATTGTTTATTTGGCAGCTCCAAAGTGAGTGAGTGACAGTTTCAGTGTGATCGTCGAAAGTGATGGCAGAGGGTGCAATTCAATTATCAAAAATTTCCACACCATTTTCCAGTTACTTTCATGTCATCAAATTGTATGGAATTGACACCAGCAGTGCAAACTAGAAGGCATTTTTATTAGCCTGCAAAAACTCAATTGATTTCTAATTACTGTTAATCCTTGTTAATTTTCTTTTAAGGTATCCATTCCAGGATTGGCTACTCAATATCAGCCTCCTAAGCTGTGCCGCACAGTAGAAGAGGCCAAGAGCTATGCTGCTGAGTACACACTTCAGCAGCTTGGTGTGCCAATAGAGGGTATGTCTAGGTAATAAATATCAAGTCCACGGATACATATTTTTTCAGCCCCTCCCTTAATCTCTCCAATGTTGTATTTCAGTGGTGACTACCACAGCAGCAACGGATATCCCACCCACTACTGGAACCCCAGTTCCGTCTACAGCGGCGTATGCAGCCCGTCCTTTACCCCCAGGTTTGTGGTTAGATACCTTTTAGGAAATTAAATTACAGTCATGTTATGATGTAAAGGGCAGTGTTGTTTTTTCCATGAGTACCTCTCAAAATATATTTTGCTGCAGCCATCACTCTCAAATGCAAAGTCAAGGCCTGTGGATCAGATCTTGGGATCAGATCTTTAGATTGGATCTTTGATGTTTGGGATCTTAAATGCTGTTGAATTCTCCTAATTGTTTTCAGTCCAGATTTAAAAATCTTGGTGCTTGAAAAAGAGAAATAACTTTCAACATCTTGTTTTTACTCTAATGTTCTTAAATTTCCAACCTGAAGTCATTAATTCAAGATAGAAGACCATTGCAGTTCAGGATGCAGTTACCGAAATAACCTTGTAAACAAAAACCATTTCCTGTCCTCATCTTCTTTTGTGAAGTGTTCAGTGAACTATCAAGAGGATATGGCCGCAGAACATCCTAAACTAGACTAGCATACATTTGTGAACCCTTTACCTCCGAAGAGTTGATTGATAATTCTCCCCACAAGCTGCCAGACATTTTCTTGTAAATTAGTTGGGGGTATTTGCTGTTAGATCAAGATAACAACCTCTACTTGATAAGTTTGAGTATTCTCACTACCTTTTTACAAGAAAAATTAAGGATATTACAAGAAGGTACGTGTTAATCATTTCTGGGAGTTAAAGGGTATGACCTTAGTTTCACGTCACAGAGCTGGCAAAAGATATTCATCAGTATCTCTTATTTGCTGTTAATATTGGAGGTGACTGCTCTGTTAATTGTTACATGTGAGAGGATTTGATTTCAAAGGCTTTTTTGTTGTAAATTTGGCTTCTCACAGGGGCATACAGCCTCCCGAATTCTGGCCGTCCAATCAGTAGTGTAGATGGAGGTTCTTATCCTTCTGGCTATGTACCCATCAGTAATGCCCCTACCAGTGTGGCACCGCCAGCAGTCGTTGCCAAGATGCAGGGGTCATGGCCGGGAGGGGTACCTCCTACTCAAGATGGAGGAATGTATGGAGGTTATGATGGATACCCAACCAGTGAACAAGGAGGCTATCCGCAAAACATTTACCCACAGTACTAGGTGCTTAAATTTGTTAAGATAAATAATCACGTATATGTTATTAGGAAGCAAAATATGCACAGGGTACATGTACTTTGTCAATAATTCTAAGAATTTTGGGTCAGTTAAGTGTCTGATCATATGAGAGATCAAGAGGCATTTTGTTTTCTCTGCAATGGGTTGCATTCTCCAGAACGTGATTCTTGGTCTGGTTTGGAAGCTAGATGTATCTTGTGCATCTTTTGTCTTTGCCTAAATGGGAGTAGGTGGAGGCATGAATTTGTTCTTTGAACAATGTGTATGGCTAAATGTCAAGTTAAAAAACTGGGAACGCCAGGAATATTTCTGGGTTGCTCTCATTTCAAGATTAACAAGCCAACCAGACACAAGATTACAAAACTGTCATTAGTGTATGGTTTTGGGTTTCCTTTTGTGTAATGATCGCAAATGTGATTGGTCATGGCACAAGAAATGTTTCAGAAATATTTCAGTGGTTTACAGTTTTTAAACTTTATTGGTAATGTTATGTTCCTCTTTGCTGATGTTATGTCATATGTACACGTAGAATGTTTCCTGTAGGTTAATGTGATCAGGTCTTTTTTTTTGTCATCTTGGGGTGAATCGGTAGTAGTATGTTGGAATCAAATTGAAGCTGTTTACAGTAAAAAAAACAGCTATGTCAGCTTATTATTTTGTCTGATTATTACTAGCTTTATGATCTGTTTTGTAAAAAAGTGCTTTTGCATTGCTCAAGATCATGGTTTTACAGAATTTTAAGAAGAATTTCCAAGAGTCAAACAAAACGTATTTCAATATTATAAATTTATTCGTACTTGCGTCCTGTTTGCTATTTTATTGTCTTATTTCCATATCCATTTTAAGTCGTTTCAAGAACAGAAAGAGAGAGAGAGAGAGAGAGAGAAAGAAAAAGAAAGAAAAATTTTAGTTTATATTTTTGTTAGAGAAACTCAGATATTTATAGACAAACACAAGGCTCGTTGTTGGTTATTATTATATGGAACTAAAATTGCCTGTCAGATAGCTGGTGTAAATACTAAAACTATTCTGCCACACATGTTGCCACATACTGCAGGAATATTGTGCGAGTGCTCTTGTCCGAGCTAAAAGTGAAATTAAAAATTTTTGAGGCCTGTAACTGTTGAGATCTTTTTTCTGTTAAAATGACGGTCGTTTGAAGCTTTCTGTAGGAGTGTAAGCGATGAATTTAAAGGTGTAGGCAAACCGAAAGTATTCTTAGAATATGATTTGAAATCCAATCCTGTCGTGAGAGAAATGACGGACAACACTAGCACAATATTGTGTACAATTTTACACAATGTATCGTTCATCAAAGCACTGTATATTTTCACTTCAAGGTACCCTGTCATTTCGTGTACAGTTGAACGAACGAACGAATCATATCTTATATTAATCCGCTTGGAGCTTCCTTGATTCTGAACAAGAGGTGAAAAGGAGGGCTCAAGGAAATCGAGTGTAGATCCTAATTACGAAGAACTCAACGTTAGCAGCCCAGGTTAAACACGCACGGATCTTAAATTCACTGTCAATATAGCCCGGATCACTCGACAGAAGACAACAAAAGCGGTTAGTTTCTTAGTCAGTTGCTGAAAGAAAAGTTAAATTGGAAGATTTTTTCGAGCCTTCTGTGATCCTCTTGTTCTTCGAGATTGCAAGGGTTGATCGATTCTGGTGTCAAATTTACTTTGTTTATAGGACGATTATTCTGATATTGCTGAAGGAAATCGGCGATAAAATTCACCAGAGATAAGATTGGAATTGGGAAGTATAAAAGCTTTATTTCGCGTGACAAATTCAAGTTCCATTAAAAAAACCAACACATGCTGGTCTATTTACAATTTTCCAAGCGGTGCCGAATCACTGAGCCTGATTTTCGTACGATGTAGCGTAGGATAGTGAGTAGTACGTTTATTCTATCAATTAGGTGACATAACGCTTGATTTCTTGATATGAGTTAATGTTAGGAAGTAAATTTGATGGGAAAAGGGTGAGTACTTGATAAGAGAGGAGAAACTCACACCAAATTTTTTTCCTGTAGTTTTGTTAGTTTGTTTTTTTTTTTTCAAGTCTAGTTTAATTATTATTGTCCACGTTTTTTAAACCACCGAGGCTTTCATTCCAAAAGGCAGTTCCCTTTTTACGTTACGTGGACCCTAGCCTTCTTTAGTCTGGAACTTCAGTAGTGAAATTTAATGTCACTGAACTAGTTATATTTCTGTCGTAACTTGTTGCTCTACATGCCAATTTCTTTTTTGTCCTTAAGGATTCAACTTCCAGAAAGATTTTTTTCTTACGATTCTTTTCATGTTTCGTTTTGTCAGTTGTGTTTTTTTTTTTCGCACCGTCAGGGATTTGTGAGTTTCGTTCCACTCTGATGAGTATGCTTTTAGGAAGGCAACCTTCGTGGGAGGGCAGATGAATAACTGAGTTAGCTGCTCTAGAGAAGCTTGGCGAGTGATGTCAACAATAATTGCCACCAAAGCTAAAGTTATTTCACTGCAGGATTGGGAAGTTGAATGAAATTAAAACAGATCATGAGTAACACGTAGAGAAATAGTTATTAATGTAGTACAATTAGAGAGCAAATGACGGTACAATAAGCCACTAATAAAATTCTACATATGGTACCGTGTATTTTTGGTCTGTACTTATTGACGTGTCAAACTCGCTGAAGTGGTTGGTATGTAGTTTATACTATTATTTAACCCTTAGAGTGACCAGCATCTAATTTCTCCTAACAATATCACCCCACAAAATTACACATAGAGGTCACAAGAAGGAGGAAAATGATCACCAACGGTAGAAGCTTAAGATTGTTAAACGAATTCTGCTTGTCAGCACCTCAGGAAAATTTCATCCGTGTGGTTACTTTAAAAATACGAAAACGCTGGCTTTCGTAAGATAAAGCTGAGGAAGAGGGCGTCGTAGCAGGAAGAAAATAAACAAAGGAAACAAGCAATCAACAATCGCCCTACCAATAATGTATCTAATTTACAATGCTAAACGGAAGAAGCAGGTAAACACAATTATTGTAAACTTGCCATTTCTGTTCACTTGGTGCCCTCACTTACCAGGAGCCTGCCATTACGAGGTGATATTATGTAAAAGTGAGCCACTGTAAGTTTGATGACTGAACTCGTCGGACATGTTAATCTTACGATTATGATTGTGCGGTCATAATGAGTACATCTCGGCGCGCGCTTGCCTCGTTCCCAGTGCCTTTTGCCGCGCGCGAACATTGTTCTCAGTGTTCACACGCTTCTGCTGTATTTTGTTTTGCTCCTTTGTCCTGACTCGTGGGCCGAACCTATCTGCATAAGAGTGGCTGGGCGTAGAGTAGGAACAAACATTTTACCCGTAGGTCTTGTCGGGCTTAGTGGCCCCTTACTCTACAGTCACCTAGTCTAATATTTCAGTATTTGATTGTTTTAGCCAGCCTCGTAGCTCTAAGAATACATAATAACAAAAATTATGTTTAAAAAAAAATGTTCCCCCCTCAAAAAAAAGTACTAATATCATGATCGTAGGGAAAAAAATCCTTCTCACTCATTTTCTCCTATTATCAGGATCTAAGACTAAAACGGCTGCCGTGATCAAACGATGGGGTAACGCCATAGGCAACCTTGATAGCAGGGCCTCTTTAAATTTCTCTCTCACAGAATCAGTCATCTCATTTTATATCAGCTACAATCCATGTCTGCATTTTTGGTCCTGATACTTTCGATTGCTCAGTATCGCTGGAAAAGTTGTATGTTCCTCCGTGTTGATTTGCAGCTGTAGTTCTTGCATTTTGAACTGTAAAAAATAATGGAATATGGAAACAAAAAGACGATGAAGTCAACCAATAAACTGGTGTAACACACAAAAACAGAAAAAAATTTTAACTATAGCGATCTTCGCAGGTCTTAATGAAAAAAACAGTTTCAGCAATAAAGGAATATGTTAAAAATTTTCACAGGCGCATAAGAAAAAAAAAATCTGAGTCCTGAAACCCTGCGAGAAATTGAACAACAGATCTCCTAGATTACTCGGCTATATCATGAAACAATGCATGTCGTCCGCTTTGGAAAATGCCAGGATCAGCACTGTCACGGGTGTCCTGTGCAGAAGTGTAATTCCGAAAATGCGACCAAACGAATGTTCCGACATATCTACGTCATCTTCAGTGGCAAATCTTCGTGTTCAACTTGAATTTTTCTTAATGGTTGCCCAATATCAGTTACGTCGCAAAATTACGCGCAGAATATTAAATTTGAAATACGCTGGAAAAAAAAGGGATGGGAAAAGAGTCTCTTATTGTCTCCATGGAAACGAACCCGTGTATTGTTGATCCTATAAACTGTCGTCAATGACCCTTATAAAAACAGTGATTATGACGTCGTTAAGTTCATGACGTTGTAAATATTTCTGACGTCGTTAGTCTTGATGATGATGTCGATCATATGTAGTGCGCCATGAAGTTTCTTCATGACGTCGTTTAGCGAACGAAATCGTTGGGACGTAACTGTTGAGTTAAATTAAGTTGTACAACAAACACTTTTAACTGAAGACGACACAGGAGTGTCGACTGAAACATGTTTGTGAACTAAAAAAATTGAATTTAGGTGTTTGAAAATTGTTTTTACTCTGTTCCATTTACGCACAAAACGGCAATTTATCTGAAACTCTTCAAAATTTTAGTTACAGCTTTGTCAATGTTTCTTTCGCTCTGTGATTAGCTCCAGACGACTCGCGTCACCCTTTTAATAGGCCAATCAGATAAACCGCGAATCGCGACCTGTTCACGTGCATTTTCTCGCGCTTCAGGAAATTTGCTTAGTTTTACCTTGAATTTTTCTTGACCGAATCCCTTGCCATACTTGCCTCGTTTTGATTGGCCATTGTGATTTTTTTTTGGTCTTCAGTGCAATCAATACTAAATTAAAATGCGTTCTTATACTTCGTCACCTGTTTGAATTCGTGTGACAGAGATGCTTCGCACAGCGTTCTTGGAGTTCAACGTTGACTGTTCTTTAGACGACACGACGTTCCGCTTACATAATGTACCAATTAACGTCTCCTTAACCTGGAGGAAGAGATTAACAATCGGTTTGGTATCTTTGATGAGATGCATACTCTCCTTAGACTCATAAGGGCGCGCTAACGCCACGAAATTTACAAATGGAATCCCAATATAACTCCATCATATGCTTCGTATATCCACGAGTAAAAAAGGACATCTCCCAAAGATACAAAGATTACTGAGGGGACGCATTTTTGCAGGTGGTCCAAATTCCTCGTTACCAACACTGAATAAGAGGAAAGGGAGAAATGTTTCGAAGGATTTGTACCCCACTCTACCCCCGCCGAAACAAAGTTCTCCCTTCTGTGAACCGATAACTTTGTAGTTGCTGGGGACAACAGTTTCCCTGCACCTCTACAGGAAAAAGACGTATTCGTTATTCCATGCGGTCAGTCAAGATGTTTTAAATCTTCCCTTAAGATATCTAATGTAGAGGCATATATCTTAAGCAGATTTATAAAATAGCAAATAAATTAAGAGTTTAATATGACAAGAATTAAGAACAACTTGTTAAATTTAGTACCCAAGAAAAAACCAAAAATATACCACTTAAAACACAGTCACAAAAGACTTACTGCATCATCTAGAATGCAAAAAGTGACGAATATGAAAAATCCCTGAAGTGAGTTCAAGATGGTGAACAGATAATGAAACACAACTGTAGAGGAAATGAACGTCAAAAAGCCAAATAACCACGTGACTCCCAGGACCGGCAGCAGCATTGCAGTTCGTCGTAACCAGGCCTTCACCTGCTTGGCGCATGGCCTGGCACGTGACATGCTGGCTTTAAATTGTGCAGCTCTGTTTATTTGGCGCAGCAAGAAAATTAACAAGATTGAATTGATCTGAAAAAGGGAACAAAACATAGCAAGGAATATAAGATATATGTTTTATCGAATAAATTTCTTTTTTTGATTTTAAAATCTCAATAAAAAAAGATAAGTAAGATCATTAATGACGTGCTTAAATCAGGGATACATTTTTTTCAGCCAAAGGTAACACTAACAAACAGCACATACTTCAGTGAACACAAATGCAAAAAGCCTATTTGAGAGGAAAATATATTTAAGAGGTGGCGTGGATGCGTTGGATTTAATTGAAAGGGAGTCAAGAAAATTGGCTCGAACACTTTCGTCGACGCTCACTGCTAAACTTTCCTGAAAATATCTTCCATTATCCCATCTCTTAGTTTAAATTTTTTTCTCCCAGAATTTCCCTGCCTACGTAGCTTAGGTTGTAGAGCTTCGAACTGCCGTCTGGTATTCTGGTCTTGACTACGAAATGGAGGCCATGGTCAATGCAATCTGGACAAAGTCCCCAGTAAAGTGTTGTAGAGCGCTATGCGCTAATGGTTGTGGTACCGAGGAAATTCTTCATTACTATTATGGGTGTTATTTTTAGTGTTACTATAGTCATTATGATAAAAGAAACATCATCAGATGAACCGTAAGGACCCCCATATATTTCCCATCAAGTCTGACCTAACTCAATCAATAATAATACACTATTCATTTCAGAAGAGATAGTTTGTCGTTTTACATTATTCCTCTAGGTTTGAAAATAAGTTTCTACTTCACCATGTTCATGTCTGACCAATATTTTCTAGTTTGCGTCCAAACAAATTGACCGCGTACCTGGCGGCCATTAATTGAAAGAGTGTACTCACAGTTATAACTGTTGCGACTGGAGCGGCAAACGCCCAATAAATGACTCCATGCTTCGTAGTCAGCCAGCAATTATTCGCTGCGTTAACTTCAGTACCAGTAACTATGAGAGAAACAGCGACTATTGATAGAGGGGAGCCTGGAACAATAATAAAATTTGGTAAAAGTGAGGCGACACTTAACCGTAGTTACAAGTAGTGGAATGACATTTATTTTCTCCTACCCCATCCTAATGCGTAGAGCCATTTCATCTTTGGTTCAAGAGTTTCTCGAGTTTCCACTTTTATGATTAGGAAGTACAAGATAACTCCATGACACAGCATCCACGAAAACACAGACAACAGGAAGTAATGGAGAAATGTGGCCGTGATGGTGCATAATACCTAAGGCGAGAAAACATCATTAGGTCTGGTTTTCAAATGATGTGGAATTTCCCGACCGCATAAAGTGGGCCGCACGATCTAGCGAGCAAAAATTCAGAATTGAGCACAACCTGGGTGTAGAAACCAATCCCCCTCCTAGCCCCAGTCTGCGCGGTTATTCATTTAAGTTTAACTTGAGCGTGGATCATGAAAATAAAAAGGGTGTGAGCTCGAGTTGAAATTTAATCGCAAGTACGTTCTTATGTCAGCCGTATCCCAAAATCTTCAGGTAAATTTCTCTTTCGTCGAGTGTCCCGTATTTATATTGGTAATAGGACAGAGTGGAGTCCAATTCGGTCTGTAATCGTACGAGTGATTAACAAAATCGGACAACTGCGAAGCGGGAGTCCGATTTGTCAACTACGAGTATGATTACAGACAGAATTGGACGATACGAAGTCCTATTACCAATTTATCACAACAATTACAATTTCCGAAAAAAAAATACATGTAGAACAAACATCTCCAGTAGGGACAATGTCTACGACAAAAATTTGGAAATTTTCTAGTTTTCTTTTCAGGGTAAGTGGTTGTTGCTATGGTTATTGTGATCAACTCTGTGATTGGTGGACTTAGTATGATTGGCTGCTTGAACTGTCTCACTACAGGTGTCCGATTACGGTCGACTGTCTGATTACACTATCCGATTTCAACTGTACAGAGTGATTAGTGAAATATAAAGCAGCTGATGCACCAACCACATTTGAGGAAATTGTAATGGTTATGATTACCTATGTTATCAGTATTTCCTATGTTACTTCCAGTTTTGTAAGAAGTGGTTCCGTTCTTGATGTATTATGTTCGTAATACTTTACTTAGAAACCACTGGCAATGGCGCGTAAATAGAAGAGTTCGGTCGAGTTGTCAGGAAATTAAACTCCGCTTAAATTTATTGCCGGTGCGTTGGTTGTACTGGTTTCTACTCAGACGATCAGGGCTTTGCTGATTGTTTTGTCTGGTGTGCATGTGGTCACCGCCTCTCGATTAAGTGGATATTATTTGGTGAGACCAGGGTGATCAGAACTACATGGAAGCCAAGCCATTTAACAGTAATTACCTGCGGCAGTGCTCGTTCATTTGGATCTGAATCAGGCGGAAAGTTTGGAGAACAAAAAAATGTTCTTTTCATACAAATTTTCATTTCATGCACATTTTAAAATCTTTTCTAAACAATTACTGTACGGACCCACGGCAACAAGGAATCTATTCGTTTTATATAATAACTAGCAAAATTTTGTTACGGTGATGTAAACAACGTGTTTGTCTTCCAATAGAACATAAGTAAGATCCAATAAAAATGCGTGTACAGCTTATTATCACTAATCCATCATAATTGCACAATATCCTTGATGAATGTCACTAGAAAGTAGGTTCCAGTTTGTTACCTTAGGCCTTCGTGCGTGATCAGCTAGGATGATAAAAAGACAGGAGGCAGCAATAGCTACACACAGGTTCAATAAAATTATAGTGCGGGCGCTCTTTACTCGTTTCCAGTACAATATGATCACGGCAAAGGTCAGCAGAAGAAACAGCAGAGAGCACGCGCAGCCTGTTGTGGAAATATACCCTAAGTAAGGTTGATGCTGCTCACCGCCATCTATCTAAAAAACGAAAATGAAAAGTCCTGTTATGCCCGATAAAATCCAAAAAATATTTTGTGACCTAAAACATAGATTTTCTTGGGGTCTAAGAAAATGACTGGAGCGTTTTCCTTTTAAAGAAAGAAAAGCCTTTTTATCTCGTATGTCTTGGCAATATAAGGAAGTATGAGGCAATGTAATTTTGTCCAAGATAGAAAGAAATGACAAAATGGAATTTCAGTTCTTCTTACCGGCTCGTTGTTCAACAAAACTGAAAAAATCGTCAGGTGGTCACATTCACACGTGGTTGAACGCGCGTTTGACTCATGATCCACGCGCACACATCCACGTGTTTGCCACGTTCGGTGCGACTGGCCGATCTCCCAGAAGACGCATTGTCCAATCAAATCACCGCCCTGCACGGTAAAAAAAAAGGTAATACGATCGTATACTAAACCACAAAATTGTCGATAGTTAAGAAAACCCTCACACTGGGTTTTTGGAAGCGTGAAATGTCTATTAAGGACGCATAAATTGCTATCTTGTGGATAGTGTATTGTTTTGCGAACGGAGATTTACAAGGTGGAACGCTTTATCCTTTCTTCGAACAACCGCTGTTAAGAAATACAATAATGCAGCCTAAATGTTTTTTTTTTTTTAGTTTACAACCAATAATGGTTTGACTGGCTTTTGATTTATTTCAAAGAGGTCAGTGTTTCTCCGATTGCCATTGAGGGATAAAAGTGAAGTAGACGAAGAAACATAACGTAAAATAAGAAAATAATCCTCGCAAGTGAACCACTCGAAAAGAACTTGCAGGAAAAGATGCCTGCAAAATTCAAGCTTGGACGCTTTTTCTGAACCGTGCCCCCGAGACACTTAAAATTCTTGTGGGGTCTAAATTACTGTAAAGGAATGTGCTCACAATTAAATTAAAGAAGTGATTACAAGTAAAATATATTGTTCAAAAACAACAGAGTATTTGTTACAATCCAATCAAAGGACTGCACAGGCAACATCACGTTGACAACAACTGTTAACAACATGGACTAACTAACTGATATAACTTTCTTACACCTTGTTGTTGTGATCAAAAACCAGTTTGAATGGTACTCTCAGAGGACTCGTTGGACGAGGGATGATTTTAGCGGAAATGATTCTCGAGGTCTCTGGCCTTTTTTCCTGTTCATTATCGGATGCCTCTCTTTCAAGTCTGAAAAAATTGTGCAGTGAATTGTAGGCAACGACTGCTACTATGTTTGTGGAACTATTGGCGAACACTGAACCAGGAAACAGGACGGATGCCCCATATTGGGAGAAATCGACGGCGAGCTGAGAAATAAGTCGAAAGTCAAGTGAGTTTACTCACTTAACCGAGTTTGCTGAAAAGGAAATGGTGTTAATTTTGGGCGCTATTATGCATGCAATCAATCATCGCGTGAAGTTTCAAGGTTATTCTGTGTTGCATGATCAGCCCTTGCGGTCCCTGGCTCCGGAAAACTGGGCCCTAGTACTCGAAATCTAGGCATACGGATAAACTCCTCTGGGAGAGGAGTGAGACACTACAAATCTTATTCTTTTGGATTAGTGCATTTAGAGAGTGCAACCACGAGATGAAAGAAAGAAAATTGTCAGCGGAGCTTATGGAGACGAAAAAAGAGGGAAGAAAGAAAAGGGACCGAAACGTTACAATTCAAATCACGCGAGAAAATTGTTATGTTTGCTTATGTGCGAGATTGCGAAATAAAGGATGCTTTTTGACATTTTGGGTGCTAATTGAAATTTCCTGTGTAGCTAAATATCAACCGGTCTGGTTGGTCATATCCCAATAATAGTAACGCTCTATGAGTGAGACTTGGGCGACTAACCGTTTGGATTGTGTTTACTCGATCGACTCTGATGCCAATGTTTCTTGATGAGAGGACAAATGAAGTGGAATTGATTGAACTGCCCAGCTGACTGCTTATTTGAGAGGCAAACTCATCCATTGTTTCTAAAAGAACATCGGTGACGTTTTCTTGATTCTAGAGAGAAAACAATCAGATATCCATGTTGATAAAAGGGTAGCTCAAACGCCATCAGTGACGTCACACTGAGACAAAACATTTAAACAGGGCTTCGGAGCTTGTCTAGACCACTTAAGGAAAATTATACAAAATTATAGACTGTAGGTGGATCATAGACTCTTAATAGCAGTAGATGTAAATTATGTACCCCCGGAGAGGTTAATCCCTTATAATTATTTCCTTACATCGTGCAATAAAAAGGATGGTGAAAAGAGATCAAAGCTCATCTTCCACAGGATACATATATATATACATAGCCTTAATATTGCAACAAATTCTCTAAACTTCTCCACTTAACAAATAGATTCTGTGGTTGCCAAATATCTGTCTAACAAATGGATTCCAAGTTGCCGTGCGTCTGTTCAGTAATAGATCACATGTAATCTATTTATTCTTTCGATGAAAAAGCAATATGTTGCTAATAGTGACGTCATCTGTGCGTTCGCTCTCACATAGATCATAGGTACCAATCTGAATACTCGTATAATTCAGCTTATCGCATTAAAGGACATATGCATCAAATACCAGGGAGAATTACTGAACATATTTCAGGAGATCAGTGTTTAAAAGTGACATCTATCTTTAGTCTCAATACCCTTTGTAATTGTAGCCATGTTTGAGTATTCTCTTCGTCCAGTAAATTGCTCCCTGCTACCAAGATGTTCCGTCGGTCAGTGGGTTTGGTAAAAGCCCCGTTGTTCTGCGAGGAATTGTATGTTACTAAGAGTTCAAGTATGTCCACAGATTTTGACAGTTCTTCTGCGTTGAGTTTCTGATTGTTTCCAGGTTTCGTCAAGGTGACAAATTGTGTAATGACCGTGGTTACGTCGATGGAGTGGTTACCACTCAACATGGCCTCAATCTGGTGAGAAATGTACTTAGTAAGTGAAGCGTCCAGTGTATTGTTAAGTTAAAATGTAAAGTGTTTTACCTACCACAGCTATTGACCACTCTCTACTTGAGAGAGTAAGGGAAAATGTACAAAAAAAGGGCTTATAAACGAAAGAAGAACCGAGCAACGAATACCTTCTGAGCAACTTTCTGATATATTCAAAGTCACGTGACTTTCACTCCCAAGATCTTATTGGTAATTCTTCTTACTTTCTGCCATACAGTTATTATGATGTAAGATCGGAGAATTTGATACTGGATCAACTAGTAAACCCCGTAGTGATAATTTTTTTATTCTCTACACTTGTCCACTATTGTTAGGAGAGATTCTGTCTTGGTCACTGATGGGAATTAAAGGGTTAAGCTTTCTTTTAGTTTAAACTCTAGGGTTGTGGGATCGTGACCCACTGTTGTCAATAATTTGTCTGTATGTGTTGCTTCGAACCATTAACAGGGAGTTTTCTCCTCCAAGTTGGTTGAGTTTTTGGTCACTTTCGCCTCCACGGCCTCAGAAAATGTTTTTTTCTAGAATTTCATGTTTAACCGTCAACCTTCTAAATGTTCTGTAAAATCATTGAATGCTCAAAGCCAAGAATGTAGTCGTTGTTTCTTCTTTTTTTTTTAGGACGACATAGGATTTCTTTTATCTCAAAAGTTTTCTTTGATATCACTAAGAAGACTTAGATATATAAACTCGTACCTGTGTTTGTAGAAGAGACATTCTGTTGAAAGTGGGGTAAGGATGTTTGCGAGTGTCTGTCGTGAGAGGAAATAATTTGATGTCAGTCATATAATATACACCATAGTTGTGTTGGTAGAATAAGTTAAGAGGTAAAAGAAAAGGTTTGGTCGGATTGAAAAGGGGGGGAAGGGGAAGGGGAAGGGGAAGGGGAAGGGGAAGGGGAAGGGAAAGAGAGGGGAGGGGAAGAAGTGGTCCACTAGATCCAGGCTTCACTGTACAATAAAGCAACGACAGCCTACCATTGACCCTAAGGTTCGTGATATTTATACTTTGAAACGTTCTTGCTTCGACAGTGCAACGGTAGACTCCCCTGTCCTCTCTCTGTACATCTTTGAGTTCTAAAGTGCCATTTGCTATCGTGTTTAGTCGTGGATCATTTGCTGGTATGGTCTTGTGACTTTTCTCCCAGGTCAGGTTAACACTCCCTTGAAGCTCACTCAAATCTCGGTCAGTACACCAAAGGACCACTCGATCGCCAGTATTGACGACGAGATGCATGTAATAACGATAGGGCGAGTATCCTAAAACTGTAACAATCGAACGTCATATTTTTAGTAGGTTATATGTATTTTTAGACGGTTTTAACCGAACTTTTAATGAATTGCCTGGTTACGTCGCGCGTTGTGATTTGCTGCTCACATTTAAAGAATTTCCGGTTCTTTACTGTTTTTCTCATGTGAAATTGTGTAAGAAACAGATTAACGAGCATATGATGATTTCCAAAGGATTTTCTTTGCATTGAGATCGATCCGTGTTACCAGAGATCGTTTCCCCAAACCAGTCAGGAACAGTAGATATACGAAAAGGATTCTCGTTTTTTTCGAGCAGACCTAAAATTGACCCCGTTTAGTAAAATGCGTAGCAAGCTCACCTCAACAAGCTAATGTATTTGCGTAAAAAGCCAGTTAAAACTGTAGAATTCGGTTATTTACAATGAGAAAGTTTTCACCACAAAAACTGACCATGAAGGTATCTAAGCACCGCTATTACCTGTCGCTCAATTAAATTTTTCCTGCCCGTCTTGACTACGATTTGCAGATAAACGAAAAGGTTTGGCTCCCTGCACCGGTCTGGGTTTTTAAAAGAAAATTATTTTATTTCATACATACCCCGTTAATTATTGATGCATTTATAGTCTCCCTAATAGTGGAAGCGAAAGCTAAAGCTACATTAATGTGTAATCATTTATCTTTAATCTCCACAGTCTTGCATTGCGACAAGTTCTTCTTTGCCAAACATTCCCCCTTTGTGGTCCTTAGAGTCGTTCGGAAGTGTTATGAAAAGCGATGACAATATTTCTGATTTTATTTTAAGCCCCCGACAAGTTTCTTGACAGTTAGAAGAACTTTCCGGTCAACAAAACATTAAGGGTGCTCGGCGATGATTTTGGGCCAATCGCATTTGCGCCTTTAGCAAGCTCTTCCAACTCACCGGTAATTGAATCTTTTTTTTTTTTTTACACAATTACTATTTCAAATAATCATCGCATGTCTTAATTAATTTAAGCGTGGTCTCGGCCTCAAATTTTCCGGTTGTCAAACTGCGTAAGTCCAGCTGAATTTGGAGACTAACTCTTTAAGTTAAAATGCAAATTCGGAGTTTGTCTCTTAAATATTTGCGGCTTTGCTTGGTATTTACTAATACCTAAAACGAAATCCGAGTTTTACAAACTTTGCTTGGATATAAGGTGTAGAATTCGATGCAATCGGTGTAGAACAGTTTTGAAATCTGCAAAACTTTCCTCTTTTGACTGCCATATTTCTTTTCTTTCTTTATCTTCAATCTTCATTCATGCACCAATAAAATTTATCAGGAAAATCGTAAATATGATAACGTGACGATTCCTAACGTTACCTGGCCAGCTTTCTATCAATTCTTCATCTCTAAAAGAAAGACGAATTGATATTAATCAATCTTCAGGCCGGCTTTTGATTAGTATATGTAATCACATGAGGCCAAGTACTATTAAGGATTAATTGCACGAGAGTTTTTTTTTTTTGGAAAATTTTGAAAACTCAAGTGCAATTAATCCTTAATAGTACGAGGTCTCATGGAATTACTTGTTTATCAATAAAGGGCAAAATTTATACGAAGGAAAATCACGCGCGCAGTCTATTTTTATCTGGGAAGCCTGTTTAGCGCTACGGCAAATCATCAATCAAATTGAACTGACCAATCGATTCAATGAAATTTTATTCTCCAAAACTGTGTCGTGATACACTGCCAAAAGTCTAGAAAACAAAGCTCATTTCAACAGAGCGTTTCTGCCAACAGAAAAACAACAAAGTGCTTTTAACTGAACAAGGTAATCATGCCCTCTCTTGATTACTAAAAATGCCCTCGATTAAGAAAAAATGCCCTCTCTCTCAACCAATCAGCGCTCAGTAATTTTGCCCTTTATTGATAAAGATGGAAATTAGGTAATTTGGTATTATCAACTGAGTTGATACCGTAAATTGGCCGTCGTAAAGAGTTTCAATTTTTGCGGGTTTCAGTTTTTTTAAAATATTTCTTTGTAATAGAGGAGGTAAGTTTGTAGAGAACCTGTGGTGTTGCGTCGGTGGGAAAGTATAATAAGGTAATTTGGTACTATCAACTATGTTGATAACGTCAATTGGCCACCGTAAAGAGTTTCAAACCCTTAATCAGAACTAATGGAAACTGTTTATTTGCGATAGATATAGGTTGACAGCTCGATATATACATACAAATGAATATATACTTTCCACAAAGTAAGCTTCCACCCGAAAAAAACAAAACGCAAAACAAAGCGCCTTAACGGTTGCTACTGACTCTCAGTCAGTCTTCAGTTAAAAAAAAAAAGAATAACTCCCTATTCCAGTCAACCGTGAACTTGTGGAATTTTCAGTTGATGCGGCCTCGTAAGTAACTCAATGTAGGGGAAACTTAAAAATATCAAGTTTGCATCATATTTTATGTTTTGCTTCATGACCAGATCATCGCCGAAGTTTCATCGCAGCAGAAATTTTAATTAAGTCAACTCGAAACTCAAAAATTTCTAGCCTCAAAATTCAAAAACTTGCCATTCCGCAAACAAACTCCAAAGAATTTTTATTCTGTGCTACTCCCTCTAAAAGCTATTTATATTAGTGCTATGTTAACCCTTGACCAAAAATGAAGAAGAAATCGTATTTTGTGGTCTTTCCTCAAAGCTAAATCAAAACGAACTGAAATATGCTAACAATGAATGAAGCAAATTACCTTGATGTTGCAGTGTGGATACCAGCGTGAATACCAGCGTGAACAGTGCTAAAATCTGCATCTTTGAAGTGTGAGAATTTCTACGCGTTATCCTAACTCTTTTAAGCTGTCTGAGGGGCAGGATGCATTATCGAAATGAAAACATATGCTCATTCTGTAAATAAAGGGGCTCTTTTAACAAAATATTGAACTTAGTTGTCACATTAAATTAAACATTTGATACTCCTAAGACGTCTTCAACTTCATCTGGAAGTGCATCTGTCGATGGGTTAAGTCAAAAAGGAAATATCCCAGAAGACCACCTTGGTCAAATTGATTAATGCCCTTTTATCTTTAAGTATAGCTTTTACATTCTAACTTTCGCTGTTCTTCGGAGAAAGTGAGCGATTTCTTTCAAACCTCGGGGGTGTCAATAAGGTATGATACATGTATAAATAATTAGCAAAGAATTATCATTCCTCTTCGTTCACTTAAAAGTTCTGAATCTTCGATGGTTTTTTTGATGAAACAAACTAAGCCTTCACTTCGTGTGAAGCTTGTCGTATGTCACATGCCATATGCCATTAACAAAATGATTGGTCTATAGTCTTGAGTAGCAAGGAACATCAGCATCAAGTTTCAATTATCTGAAAGTGTAAAGCAGTAATTTCCAGCTCTCAGATCTTTTCTATATTTGCCCGGCGAACCAGTTTGCTTCAGGGTCTGTAAACTCACGTGAATACTCTATTATCTGTTAAAAGCTTTTCTTTTTTTTTCGGGGGTTAATCAGTTTTCGTCCAACGCATAACTTTCCTTTGTATCTAATCTGATTCTAAAACATATAGATCTGTCGTCTCTTCTACTAAAGACGACTGGTTGTCATCCAATTCTGCCGTTTAATTTTGAGTCTCTTTGAGTCCTTGTTGTTTTCGAGGTCATCAAATCCTTCTTGTTGACTAACATTAATCTTTTTGTCTTTAGAAACTGCAAAGTGAATCAGAAGTAGAAACATCAGCAAATGGGAAGATCAGTGACGAAGCGCTAACGCACGAAAAGTCAGCTTTTATACTCTTAGCAGTGGCCAAGTTACATTACTAACTCAGTTGATAAGAGCAAATGATCCTGTAATGCAAGCATGTGCTCAATCCCGCCTCTTGTGAAGAGCACAAGCCTGGTATATAAATGCAGATTGTGTACGAAAACTAGAGACTTGCTGGAAGGAACTGTTGACGCAAATGGTCAAGTATGGATGGAAAAAGATTCCTAACCCCTGAAGACGTTAAGGAGAGAGAATTTAGACTCTGATATATCAACACCAATATCCTGTACATAACAAAAAATGGCAGTCTCAGAAATGCGATCAGGAGCCAAAGACATCGATTATGTCTATCGTTGTCACAACGCTACGATGACAAAGAATATACTATTTGCGAAATCAAAGCGGCCTCACCTACAGGACCCCTTGATTAACATCTCAAATCCTTCCTAATGATTAGGCGAAAAGGAGCACGCGGTTGAAAGCTGAAGGACAGGAACTGTTTGAACAACAATTCAACAATATCACCCCGCAGAGACAAGATTGCTAATTGGAGGAAAATACTGGAGCTGGAACTGGTCAGAGTGAAAACAGATAATGCACCCCTTACACTGTTAGAATCATTGTATCTCACTTCACACAAAAGTAATTCGCAGAGTATATCAATTTGAAGTAAGATTACTGACGGGAACTCAGTATTTGTTATTTGCTCGACGCCCAGAACGAAATTTTTAGCTCTGCTAGCATCTATAATGAAAAATAAAAAGCCAGCTGAACCCTATTTTATAGCCGAGGGTTCCTAAGACTACAAGATTTAGAAATCTAGACCGTACGCACAGGGAAACTCGTTTCTTTTCAACTTCCGTTTACACAATTTTTATGAAAAATTTCCTCATGTAGAAAGGATAAAAGAAGAAACCGAAAGAAGCTTTGAGAAATGTGCAAGTTAGGTAACTACTTCACTGATGCCATCAGTTACATGAGGATAACGATATGAACATTTGATATGAAAACTTGAGAGGTGAATACCACACTGGTGCAATCAAACAGTTACAAAAGGAGAACGATACATTGGAGCATCTGGAAAAAAAGAGTTCTTCCTAACAGGAGTTTCAATAAGAGTCGGTTATTGGCGGTCTACTGCCGCCTGTAAGACCTCTCACCGCCGTATGTTTAGTGCGAGCATGCTCTCCTGTTTGTTTGTTTACAGCAGCCTATAGTACTACCGGCAACCGCCTATGGAATAAGTTACTAAGACTCGTGTCCTTCACCCTTCTCACCCCTCCCACAGAAATTAATGCGAAAACCATAAATTTCTTGGTGCGTTATTTGCAGCATTCGAGCCACCAAAGGAAAAATGTTTTAAGATATCTTTTTTTCCTTACGATTCTTTTCATGTTTCATATTGTCAGTTGTGTTTTTTTTTTCGCACCGTCAGGGATTTGTGAGTTTCGCTCCACTCTGATGAGTATGCATTTAGGAAGGCAACCTTCATGGGAGGGCAGATGAATAACTGAGTTAGCTGCTCTAGAGAAGCTTGGCGAGTGATGTCAACAATAATTGCCACCAAGGCTAGAGTTATTTCACTGCAGGATTGGGAAGTTAAATGAAATTAAAACAGATCATGAGTAATATGTAGAGAAATAGTTATTAATGTAGAACAATTAGAGAGCAAATGACGGTACAATAAGCTACCAATAAAATTCTATATGTGGTACCGTGTATTTTTGGTCTGTAGTTATTGACGTGTCAAACTCGCTGAAGTGGTTGATATGCAGTTTATACTGTTATTTAACCCTTTAACCCCCGAGAGTGACCAGCATCTAATTTCTCCTTACAATATCACCCCACAAAATCACACATAGAGGTCACAAGAAGAAAGAAAATGATCATCGACTATAAAAGCTCAAGATTGTTAAACAAATCCTGCTTGTCAGCACCTCAGGAAAATTTCATCCGTGTGGTTACTTTAAAAATACGAAAACGCTGGCTTTCGTAAGATAAAGCTGAGGAAGAGGGCGTCGTAGCAGGAAGAAAATAAACAAAGGAAACAAGCAATTAACAATCGCCCTACCAATATTATATCTAATTTACAATGCTAAACGGAAGAAGCAGGTAAACACAATTATTGTAAACTTGCCATTTCAGTTCACTTGGTGCCCTCACTTCCCAGGAGCCTGCCATTACGAGGTGATATTATGTAAAAGTGAGCCACTGTAAGTTTGATGACTGAACTCGTCGGAAATGTTAATCTTATGATTATGATTGTGTGGTCATAATGAGTACATCTCGGCGCGCGCTTGCCTTGTTCCCAGTGCCTTTTGCCGCGCGCGAACATTGTTCTCAGTGTTCACATGCTTCTGCTGTATTTTGTTTTGCTCCTTTGTCCTGACTCGTGGGCCGAACCTATCTGCATAGGAGTGGCTGGGTGTAGAGTAGGAACAAACATTTTACCCGTAGGTCTTGTCGGGCTTAGTGGCCCCTTACTCTACAGTCACCTAGTCTAATATTTCAGTATTTGATTGTTTTAGCCAGCCTCGTAGCTCTAAGAATACATAATAACAAAAATTATGTTAAAAAAAGTGTTCCCAAAAAAAAAAGTACAAATATTATGATCGTAGGGAAAAAAAATCATTCTGACTCATTTTCTCCTATTATCAGGATCTAAGACTAAAACGGCTGCAGTGATCAAACGACGGGGTAACGCCATAGGCAACCTTGATAGCAGGGCCTCTTTAAATTTCTCTCTCACAGAATCAGTCATCTCATTTTATATCAGCTACAATCCATGTCTGCATTTTTGGTCCTGATACTTTCGATTGCTCAGTATCGCTGGGAAAGTTATATGTTCCTCCGTGTTGATTTGCAGCTGTAGTTCTTGCATTTTGAACTGTAAAAAATAATGGAATATGGAAACAAAAAGACGATGAAGTCAACCAATAAACTGGTGTAACACACAAAAACAGAAAAAAAATTTAACTATAGCGATCTTCGCAGGCCTTAATGAAAAAAACAGTTTCAGTAATAAAGGAATATTTTAAAAATTTTCGCAGGCGCATAAGAAAAAAAAATCTGAGTCCTGAAACCCTGCGAGAAATTGAACAACAGATCTCCTAGATTACTCGGCTATATCATGAAACAATGCATGTCGCCCGGTTTGGAAAATGCCAGGATCAGCACTGTCACGAGTGTCCTGTGCAGAAGTGTAATTCCGAAAATGCGACCAAACGAATGTTCCGACATATCTACGTCAGTGGCAAATCTTCGTGTTCAATTTGGATTTTTAATATGGTTGCCCAATATCAGTTACGTCACAAAATTACGTGCAGAATATTAAATTTGAAATACGCTGGAAAAAAAAGGGATGGGAAAAAGAGTCTCTTACTGTCTCCATGGAAACGAACCCGTGTATTGTTGATCCTATAAACTGTCGTCAATGACCCTTATAAAAACAGTAATTATGACGTCGTTAAGTTCATGACGTTGTAAATATTTCTGACGTCGTTAGTCTTGATGATGATGTCGATCATATGTAGTGCGCCATGAAGTTTATTTATGACGTCGTTTAGCGAACGAAATCGTTGGGACGTAACTGTTGAGTTAAATTAAGTTGTACAACAAACACTTTTAACTGAAGACGACACAGGAGTGTCGACTGAAACATGTTTGTGAACTAAAAAAATTGAATTTAGGTGTTTGAAAATTATTTTTACTTTGTTCCATTTACGCACAAAACGGCAATTTATCTGCAACTCTTCAAAATTTTAGTTACAGCTTTGTCAATGTTTTCTTTCGCTCTGTGATTAGCTCCAGACGACCCGCGTCACCCTTTTAATAGACCAATCAGATAAACCGCGAATCGCGACCTGTTCACGTACATTTTCTCGCGCTTCAGGAAATTTGCTTAGTTTTACCTTGAATTTTTCTTGACCGTGTCCCGTGCCATACTTGCCTCGTTTTGATTGGCCATTGTGATTTGTTTTTTTTGGTCTTCAGTGCAATCAATACTAAATTAAAATGCGTTCTTATACTTCGTCACCTGTTTGAATTCGTGTGACAGAGATGCTTCGCACAGCGTTCTTGGAGTTCAACGTTGACTGTTCTTTAGACGACACAGCGTTCCGCTTACGTAATGTACCAATTAACATCTCCTTTACCTGGAAGAAGAGATTAACAATCGGTTTGGCATCTTTGATGAGATGCATACTCTCCTTAGACTCATAAGGGCGCGCTAACGCCACGAAATTTACAAATGGAACCCCAATATAACTCCATCATATGCTTCGTATATCCACGAGTAAAAAGGACATCTCCCAAAGATACAAAGATTACTGAGGGGACGCATTTTTGCAGGTGGTCCAAATTCCTCGTTACCAACACTGAATAAGAGGAAAGGGAGAAATGTTTCAAAGGATTTGTACCCCACTCTCCCCCGCCGAAACAAAGTTCTCCCCTCTGTGAACCGATAACTTTGTTGTTACTGGGGACAACAGTTTCCCTGCACCTCTACAGGAAAGAGACGTATTCGTTATTCCATACGGTTAGTCAAGATGATTTTAAATATTCCCTTAAAATATCTAATGTAGAGGCATATATCTTAAGCAGATTTATAAAATAGCAAACAAATTAGGAGTTTGATACGACAAGAATTAAGAACAATTTGTTAAATTTTGTACCCAATAAAAAAACGAAAGTATACTACTTAAAACACAGTCACAAAAGACTTACTGCATCATCTAGAATGCAAAAAGTGACGAATATGAAAAATCCCTGAAGTGAGTTCAAGATGGTGAACAGATAATGAAACACAACTGTAGAGGAAATGAACGTCAGAAAGCCAAATAACCACGTGACTCCCAGAACTGGCAGCAGCATTGCAGTTCGTCGTAACCAGGCCTTCACCTGCTTGGCGCATGGCCTGGCACGTGACATGCTGGCTTTAAATTGTGCAGCTCTGTTTATTTGGCGCAACAAGAAAATTAACAAGATTGAATTGATCTGAAAAAGGGAACAAAATAAAGCAAGGAATATAAGATATTTGTTTCATCGATAAAATTTCTTTTTTTGATTCTAAAATCTCAATTAAAAATGATAAGCAAGATCATTAATGTCGTGGTTAAATCAGAGAGACATTTTCTCAGCCAAAGGTAACACTAACAAACAGCACATACTTTAGTGAACACAAATGCAAAAGCCTATTTGGGAAGAAAATATATTTAAGAGCTGTCATGGATGCGTTGGGTTTAATTGAGAGGGAGTCAAGAAAATTGGCTCGAACACTTTCGTCGACGCTCACTGCTAAACTTTCCTTGAAAATATCTTCCATTATCCCATCTCTCAATTTAATTTTTTTTCAACCAGAATTTTCCCTGCCTACGTAGCTTAGGTTGTAGAGCTTCGAACTGCCGTGTGGTATTCTGGTCTTAATTACGAAATGGGGGCCATGGTCAATGCAATCTGGACGAAGTCTCCCGCGAAGTGTTGTAAAGCGCTATGAGCTAATGGTTGTGGTGCTAAGGAAATTCTTCATTACTGTTATGGGTGTTATTTTTATAGTGTTACTATAGTCATTATTTAGCTTTGGACTGGGACGTTACAAGAAACATCATCAGATGAACCGTAAGGACCCTTATATATTTCCCATCAAGTCTGACCTAACTCAATCAATAATGATACACTATTCATTTCAGAAGAGATAGTTTGTCGTTTTACATTATTCCTCTAGGTTTGAAAATAAGTTTCTACTTCACCATGTTCATATCTGACCAAGATTTTCTAATTCGTGTCCAAACAAATTGACCGTGTACCGGCCATTAATTGTAAAGGATGTACTCACAGTTATAACTGTTGCGACCGGAGCGGCAAACGCCCAATAAATGACTCCATGCTTCGTAGTCAGCCAGCAATTATTCGCTGCGCTAACTTCGGTACCAGTAACTATGAGAGAAACAGCGACTATTGATAGAGGGGAGCCTGGAACGAAACAAATTTGGAAAAAGTGAGGCGAGACTTAACCGTAGTTACACGTAGTGGAATGACATTAATTTTCTCCTACCCCATCCTAATGCGTAGAGCCATTTCATCTTTGGTTCGAGAGTTTCTCGAGTTTCCACTTTTATGATTAGGAAGTATAAGATAACTCCATGACACAGCATCCACGAAAACACAGACAACAGGAAGTAATGGAGAAATGTGGCCGTGATGGTGCATAATACCTAAGGTGAGAAAACATCATTAGGTCTGGTTTTCAAATGATGTGGAATTTCCCGACCGCATAAAGTGGGCCGCACGATCTAGCGAGCAAAAATTCAGAATTGAGCACAACCTGGGTGTAGAAACCAATCCCCCTCCTAGCCCCAGTCCGCGCGGTTATTCATATAAGTTTAACTCGAGCGTGGATCATGAAAATAAAAAAGGTGTGAGCTCGAGTTGAAATTTAATCGCAAGTACGTTCTTATGTCAGCCGTATCCCAAAATCTTCAGGTAAATTTCTCTTTCGTCGAGTGTCCCGTATTTATACTGGTAATAGGACAGAGTGGAGTCCAATTCGGTCTGTAATCGCACGAGTGATTAACAAAATCGGACAACTGCGAAGCGGGAGTCCGATTTGTCAATTACGAGTATGATTACAGACAGAATTGGACGATACGAAGTCCTATTACCAATTTATCACAACAATTACAATTTCCGAAAAAAAAATACATGTAGAACAAACATCTCCAGTAGGGACAATGTCTACGACAAAAATTTGGAAATTTTCTAGTTTTCTTTTCAGAGTAAGTGGTTGTTGCTATGGTTATTGTGATCAACTCTGTGATTGGTGGATTTAGCTGAGTGGACTTAGTATGATTGGCTGCTTCAACTGTCTCACTACAGGTGTCCGATTACGGCCGACTGTCTGATTACACTGTCCGATTTCAACTGTACAGAGTGATTAGTGAAATATAAAGCAGCTGATGCACCAACCACATTTGAGGAAATTGTAATGGTTATGATTACTTATGTTATTAGTATTGCCTATGTTACACACATTCTTGTTATCAGTATATCCTATGTTACTTCCAGTTTTGTAAGAAGAGGTTTCGTTCCTGATGTATTATGTTCGTAATACTTTACTTAGAAACCACTGGCAATGGCGCGTAAATAGAAGAGTTCGGTGGAGTTGTCAGGAAATTAAACTCCTCTTAAATTTATTGCCGGTGCGTTGGTTGTACTGGTTTCTACTCAGACGATCAGGGCTTTGCTGATTGTTTTGTATATTGTGCATGTGGTCACCGCCTCTCGATTAAGTGGATATTATTTGGTGAGACCAGGGTGATCAGAATTACATGGAAGCCAAGCCATTTAACAGTAATTACCTGCGGCAGTGCTCGTTCATTTGGATCTGAATCAGGCGGAAAGTTTGGAGAACAAAAAGATGTTCTTTTCATGCAAATTTTCATTTCATGCCCATTTTAAAATCTTCTGTAAACAATTACTGTACGGACCCACGGCAACCAGGAATCTATTCGTTTTATATAATAACTAGCAAAATTTTGTTACGGTGATGTAAACAACGTGTTTGTCTTCCAATAGAACATAAGTAAGATCCAATAAAAATGCGTGTACAGCTTATTATCACTAATCCATCATAATTGCACAATATCCTTGATGAATGTCACTAGGAAGTAGGTTCCAGTTTGTTACCTTAGGTCTTCGTGCGTGATCAGCTAGGATAATAAAAAGACAGGAGGCAGCAATAGCTATACACAGGTTCAATAAAATTATAGTGCGGGCGCTCTTTACTCGTTTCCAGTACAATATGATCACGGCAAAGGTCAGCAGAAGAAACAGCAGAGAGCACGCGCAACCTGTTGTGGAAATATAACCTAAGTGAGGTTGATGCTGCTCACCGCCATCTATCTAAAAAACGAAAGTGAAAAGTCCTGTTATGCCCGATAAAATCCAAAAAATATTTTGTGACCTAAAACATAGATTTTCTTGGGGTCTAAAAAAATGACTGGAGCGTTTTCCTTTTAAAGAAAGAAAAGCCTTTTTATCTCGTATGTCTTGGCAATATAAAGAAGTATGAGGCAATGTAATTTTGTCCAAGATAGAAAGAAATGACAAAATGGAATTTCAGTTCTTCTTACCGGCTCGTTGTTCAACAAAACTGAAAAAATCGTCAGGTGGTCACATTCACACGTGGTTGAACGCGCGTTTGACTCATGATCCACGCGCACGCATCCACGTGTTTGCCACGTTCGGTGCGACTGGCCGATCTCCCAGAAGACGCATTGTCCAATCAAATCACCGCCCTGCACGGTAAAAACAAGGTAATACGATCGTATACTAAACCACAAAATTGTCGATAGTTAAGAAAACCCCACACTGGGTCTTTTGGAAGCGTGAAATGTCTATTAAGGACGCATAAATTGCTATCTTGTGGATAGTGTATTGTTTTGCTAACGGAGATTTACAAGGTGGAACGCTTTATCCTTTCTTTGAACAACCGCTGTTAAGAAATACAATAATGCAGCCTAAATGTTTTTTTCCTTAGTTTACAACCAATAATGGTTTGACTGGCTTTTGATTTATTTCAAAGAGGTCAGTGTTTCTCCGATTGCCATTGAGGGATAAAAGTGAAGTAGACGAAGAAACATAACGTAAAATAAGAAAATAATCCTCGCAAGTGAACCACTCGAAAAGAACTTGCAGGAAAAGATGCTTGCAAAATTCAAGCTTGGACGCTTTTCCTGAACCGTGCCCCCGAGACACTTAAAATTTTTGTGGGGTCTAAATTACTGTAAAGGAATGTGCTCACAATTAAATTAAAGAAGTGATTGCAAGTAAAATATATTGTTCAAAAACAACAGAGTATTTGTTACAATCAAATCAAAGGACTGCACAGGCAACATCACGTTGACAACAACTGTTAACAACATGGACTAACTAACTGATATAACTTTCTTACACCTTGTTGTTGTGATCAAAAACCAGTTTGAATGGTACTCTCAGAGGACTCGTTGGACGAGGGATGATTTTAGCGGAAATGATTCTCGAGGTCTCTGGCCTTTTTTCCTGTTCATTATCGGATGCCTCTCTTTCAAGTCGGAAAAAATTGTGCAGTGAATTGTAGGCAACGACTGCTACTATGTTTGTGGAACTATTGGCGAACACTGAACCAGGAAACAGGACGGATGCCCCATATTGAGAGAAATCGACGACGAGCTGAGAAATAAGTCGAAAGTCAAGTGAGTTTACTCACTTAACCGAGGTTGCTGAAAAGGAAATGGTGTTAATTTTGGACGCTATTACGCATATAATCAATCATCGCGTTAAGTTTCAAGGTTATTCTGTGTTGCATGATCAGCCTTTGCGGTCCCCGGCTCCGAAAAACTGGGCCCTAGTACTCGAAATCTAGGCATACGGATAAACTCCTCTGGGAGAGGAGTGAGACACTACAAATCTTATTCTTTTGGATTAGTGCATTTAGAGAGTGCAACCACGAGATGGAAGAAAGAAAATTGTCAGCAGAGCTTATGGAGACGAAAAAAGAGGGAAGAAAGAAAAGGGACCGAGACGTTAAAATTCAAATCGCGCGAGAAAATTGTTATGTTTGCTTATGTGCAAGATTGCGAAATAAAGGATGCTTTTTGACATTTTGGGTGCTAATTGAAATTTCCTGTGTAGCTAAATATCAACCGGTCTGGTTGGTCATGTCTCAATAATAGTAACGCTCTATGAGTGAGACTTGGGAGACTAACCGTTTGGATTGTGTCAACTCGATCGACTCTGATGCCTACGTTTCTTGATGAGAGGACAAATGAAGTGGAATTGATTGAACTGCCCAGCTGACTGCTTATTTGAGAGGCAAACTCATCCATTGTTTCTAAAAGAACATCGGTGACGTTTTCGTGATTCTAGAGAGACAAAATCAGGTATCCATGTTGAAAGAAAGGAAACTCTGACGCCATCGGTGACGTCACACCTAAATTCAAATCGAGGTAACAAAACTTTGTCGATAAAAGACGGATAAACATTTAAACAGGGCGTAGGAGCTTGCCTAGACAACTAAAAGTGACATCATCTATCTTTAGTCTCAATACCCTTTGTAATTGTAGCCATGTTTGAGTATTCTCTTCGTCCAGTAAATTGCTCCCTGCCACCAAGATGTTCCGTCGGTCATCGGGTTTGGTAAAAGCCCCGTTGTTCTGCAGGGAATTGTATGTTACCAGTAGTTCAAGTATGTCCACGGATTTAGACAGTTCTTTTGCTTTGAGTCTTTGCTCGTTTCCAGGCCTTGTCAAGGTGACAAATTGTGCAATGACCGTGGTTACGTCGATGGAGTGGTTACCACTCAACATGGCCTCAATCTGGTGAGAAGTGTACTCAGCAAGTGAAGCTTCCAGTGTATTGTTAAGTTAAAATATGAAGTGTTTTAACTACCGCAGTAATTGACCACTTTCCAATTGAGAGAGTAAGGGAAAATGTAAAAAAAAAAAAACCGCTTACAAACGAAAGAAGAACCTCCCAATGAATACCTTCCGAGCAACTTTCTGATATATTCAAAGTCACGTTACTTTCACTCCCAAGGTCTCATTAGTAATTCTCCTGACTGTCTGCCATACAATTATTGTGATGTTAGGTCGGAGAATTTGATACTGGATCAACTAGTGATCCCCAAATTGATAATTTTTCTTTATCCTCTACACTTGTCTACTTGATATTGTATTGATATTGTAAAGAGAAATTCTGTCTTGGTCACTCTTGGGAGTTAAAGGGTTAAGCTTTCTTTTTGTTTGAACTCTAGGGTTGTGGGATCGTGACCCACTGTTGTCAATAATTTTTCTGTATGTGTTGCTTCGAACCATTAACAGGGAGTTTTCTCCTCCAAGTTGGTTGAGTTTTTGGTCACTTTCGCCTCCCCGGCCTCAGATAATATTTTTTCTAGAATTTCATGTTTCACCGTCAACCTTCGAAATGTTATGTGAAATCCTTAAATGTTCAAAGCCAAGAATGTAGTTGATGTTTCTTTTTTTTTTAAGACGACATAAGCGTTCTTTCATTTCAACTGTGTTCTTTGGCATCTCTGAGAAGACTTCATATCTTCATAAAAACTCATACCTGTGTTTGTAGAGGAGACATCTTATTGGAAGTGGGGTTGGGATGTTTGTAAGTGTCTGTCGTGAGAGAAAACAATTTCATGTCGTTCATTTACTATACACCATAGTTGTGTTAATAGAATAAGTTAAGACGTTAAAGAAAAGGTCTGGTCGGATTAAAAACAGGGGGGAAGGGGAAGGGGAAGGGGATGGGAGGGGAAGGGAAGGGGGAGGGGAGGGGAAGAAGTGCTCCACCAGATTCAGGCTTCACTGTACAATAAAGCACTACGAAAGCCTACCTCTGATGAAAAGGTACGTGGTGTTTATACTTTGAAACTCTCTCGCTTTGACAGTGCAATGGTAGATCCCCCCGTCCTCTCTTTGTACATCGTTGAGTTCTAAAGTGCCATTTGCTATCGTATTCAGTCGTGGATCATCTGCTGGTATGGTCTTGTGGCTTTTCTCCCAGGTTAGGATAACACTCCCTTTAAGCTGACTCAAATCTTGGTCAGTACACCAAAGGACAACTCGATCGCCAAGGTTTACGACGAGATGCATGTAAAAACGATGGGGCGAGTATCCTAAAACTGCAACAATCGAATGTCGTTTTTTTAGTAGGTTATTTGTATTTTAGATGGTTTCAAGCGAACTTTTAGTGAATTACCTGGTTACGTCGCGCGCCGTGATTTATTGTTCACATTTGAATAATCTCCAGTTCTCTACTGTTTTCTCATGTGAAGTTGTGTAAGAAACAGATTAACGACTATATGATGATTTCCAAAGGATTTGCTTTGCGTTGAGGCCGATTCGTGTTACCAGAGATCGTTTCCCAAACCCGTCTGAAACACACTAGATATAAGACGAGGATTCTGGTTTTTTTTGGAGCAGACCTAAAATTGACCCCGTTTGGTAAAACGCGTAGCAAGCTCACCTTAACAAGCTATTGTGTTTGCGTTAAAAGCCAGTTAAAACTATAGAATTCGGTTATTTACAATGAAAAAGTTTTAACCCACAAAAACTGACCAAGAAGATATCTAAGCACCGTTAGAACCTATCACTCGGTTAAATTTTTTCTGCCTGTTTTGAGTTCGATTTGCAAATAAACTAACAAGTTTGCCTCCCACCAGTCCGGGTTTTTAAAAGGAAAATATTTTATTTTATATATACCCCGTTAACTGTTGATGCATTTATAATCTCCCTAACTGTGGAAGAGGTGATAACCAGATCTATACAACGACCTATTTCATCCATGCGAAAGTAGAAGCTACATTAATGTGTCATAATTTATCTTGAATCTCCACGGTCTTGCATTGCGACAAGTTCTTCTTTACCAAATATTCCCCCTTTGTGGTCCTTAAAATCGTCCGGAAGTGTTATGAAAAGCGATGATAATATTTCTAATTTTTATATTAGCCCCACGGCAAGTTTCTTGGCAGTTAGAAGAACTTTCCGGTCAACAAAACATTAAGGGCGTTCGGTGATGATTTTGGGCCAATCGCATTTGCGCTGCGGGGCAAGCTCTTCTAACTCACCGGTAATTGAATCATATTTTTTTTTTTACAATTATTATTTCAAATAATCATCGCTTGTCTTAAATTCGAGTGTGATCTCGGCCTAAAAATGTTCCAGGTTGTCAGAACTGCGTAAGTCCAACTGAAATCGGAAACTAACTCTTTAATTTAAAATGCAAATTCAGATTTTGTCTCTAAAAAATAAACGGCTTTGCTTTGTATTTACTGATACCTAAAACGAAATCTGAGTTTTATAAACTTTGCTTGGATATAAGGTATAGAATTCGATGCAATCTGCGTAGAACAGTTTTGAAATCTGCCAAGAACTTTCCTCTTTCGATTGCCATATTTCTTTTCTTTCTTTATCTTCAATCTTCATTCATGCAACAATAAAATTCATCTGGAAAATCGTAAATATGCTAACATGACGATTCCTAACGTTACTTGGCCAGCTTTCTATCAATTCTTCTCCTCTAAAAGAAAGACGAATCGATATTAATCAATCTTCGGACCGGTTTTTGATTAAAATGGAAATTAAGTAATTTGGTGTTATCAACTGAGTTGATACCGTAAATTGGCCGTCGCAATTTTTGCGGGTTTCAGTTTTTGTTGATATTTCTTTGTAACAGAGGGGGTAAGTTTCTAGAGAGAGGTTTTGCGTCGGTGGGAGATTATAACAAGATAATTTGGTGTTATCAACTGAGTTGATGACGTAAATTGGCCATCGTAAAGAGTTTCAAAGCTGACGTTTCGAGCGTTAGCCCTTAATCAAAGCGAATGGAAACTGTTTATTTGTGATAGATATAGGTTGACAGCTAGATATATACATATAAATGAACAGATACTTTCCAAAAATAAGTCCCCGCCCGAAAAAACAAAACGCAAAACAAAGCGCTGCAACAGTTTCTACTGACTCATAGTCAGTCCTCAGTAAAAAAAACTCCCTGCTCCAGTTAACCGTTAACTCGTGTTCTTTGCAAACGGATGAATTAACCTGGAATTTCCAGTTGCGTTCATTGAACGTCTTGCGGCCTCGTAAGTAACTCGATATGGGAGAAAACTTAAAAATAGCAAGTTTACATCATAGTTTATGTCTTGCTTCAGACCAGATCATCGCCGAAGTTTTATTGCAGCAGAAATTTAAGTCCACTCGAAACGCAAATATTTCCACCTACAAAATTAAAAACTTGCCGATCTGCAAACTAGAACTCCCGAGAATCTTTATTCTGTACTATTCCCTGGCCTCTAAAAGCTATTTATATTTAACCCTTGACAAAAAATATAGAAGAAATCATATTTAGTGGCCTTTCCATAAAGCTAAATCAGTACGAACTAAACTATGCTAACAGTGAATGAAACAAATTACCTTGATGTTGCAGTGTGGATACCAGCGTGAACAGTGCTAAAATCTGCATCTTTGAAGTGTGAGAATTTCCACGCGTTATCGTAACTCTTTTAAACTGTCGGAAGGACAGGATGCATTATCGAAATAAAAACACATGCTCATTCTGTAAATAAAGAGGCTCTTTTGATAAAATATTGAACCTACCTGTCACATTAAATCAAACACTTGATGCTCCTAAGACGTCTTAAACTTCATCTGGAAGTGCATCTGTCGATGAGTTAGTTCAAAAAGGAAATATCCCAGAAGACCACCTTTGTCAAATTGATTAATGCCCTTTTATCTTTAAGTATAGCTTTCACATTTTAACTTTCCCTTTTCTTCGGAGAAAGAGAGCGATTTCTTTCAAACCTCGGGGGTGTCAATTAGGTATGACACATGCATAAATGATTGGCAAAGAATCATTATTCCTCTTCGTTCACTTAAAAGTTCTGAATCTTTGAGGGTTTTTTTGATGAAACAAACTAAGCCTTAACTTCATGTGAAAGCTTGTCATGTGTCACATGCCATATGCCATTAACAAAATGATTAGTCTATAGTCTTGAGTAGCAAGGAACATCAGCATCAAGTTTCAATTATCTGAAAGTGTAAAGCAGTAATTTCCAGCTCTCAGATCTTTTCTATATTTGCCCGGCGAACCAGTTTGCTTCAGGGTCTGTAAACTCACGCGAATACTCTATTACCTGTTGAAAGCTTTTCATTTTTTTGGGGGTTAATCAGTTAGCTTGAGAAAACTCCGGGCTCCATCAAAAAAATGACGAAAAGGAATTCTCCCTTCATAACCGCCGTTTCCCTGACAACTGCAGCCAGCTTTTTGTCGCCCGCTCTCTGACTGAGAGCTTATATGTCATTTACTGCTGTACACTGACGTGGAGGTTTGGCAAATGAAATTTTATTTCAAATATGAAAATAATACAGTAAGCGCTTTTTGCTTATTGTGGTTCAATCTGTTGTTTCGTATACTTATTGACACGCCTGGATCTATTGAATAGGTAACTATTAACCGATAGAAATAAAGGTTCTTATAATTGTCTGCCTAAACTGAACATGCTCTCCAAACTGTACACCCATCTGTTCTCAAAGTAGTAGAATTCTCTGAAGAACCTGTTCAGGGCCCTCTATTACAGGTTTCAATTTAAATGGCCGCGCTCACTTGCCAGAAATGTTTGCTGAATCATATGTTTTCAGTGTTCTACTGTTATTAAGAGGCGACAAAACCAGTACTTCAGTTTGTATGCACTTGATCAGTGACGGGCCTGCTGAATACACTGAGTTCGTCTTAAAACAATTATAAAAGGCAATAAACCAGTATTTTAGTTGTTGGTTGCTTGAAACATTCTTTCCGCTTAATCAAGCTATAGACCGCACTGTTTATCGGTTTACTGGCGTAATAGCGCGCGCGGGATGTTGGGAGAACACGAGCGAAGTTTGTAAATCACAAATCGGTGCTTTTGTAAAAGAAACTTCAATGTTTTGTGGGTGCATAAACGATAGGTTTTTGACCAGTCAGGGGGCTCGTATAGAATCGCATTTACTATGTAACATGGGGTAGCTTGATAAAAGTTTCTTTAAAGTGACGAAAAAAACGAAATGATAATAAAAACCTTGTTTCTCAGTCTTATTTTTGGGTTTATTTTTAAATCATTTGGGTAAAGTGTTTTGATCAAATCACCAGAAAATACGATATTGCCATCATATTTCAAATTATACAAAAATGTCTTTCTGGGAAAAGGAAGCTCTGATTGCCACAAATTCAAGTTTTTGTTTTCGTCCAACGCATAACTTTCCTTTGTATCTATTCTGATTCTAAAATATATAGATCTGTCGTCTCTTCTACTAAAGACGACTGGTTGTCATCCAATTCTGCCGTTTAATTTTGAGTCTCTTTGAGTCCTTGTTGTTTTCGAGGTCATCAAATCCTTCTTGTTGACTAACATTAATCTTTTTGTCTTTAGAAACTGCAAAGTGAATCAGAAGTAGAAACATCAGCAAATGGGAAGATCAGTGACGAAGCGCTAACGCACGAAAAGTCAGCTTTTATACTCTTAGCAGTGGCCAAGTTACATTACTAACTCAGTTGATAAGAGCAAATGATCCTGTTATGCAAGCATGTGCTCAATCCCGCCTCCTGCGAAGAGCACAAGCCTGGTATATAAATGCAGATTGTGTACGAAAACTAGAGACTTGCTGGAAGGAACTGTTGACGCAAATGGTCAAGTATGGATGGAAAAAGATTCCTAACCCCTGAAGACGCTAAGGAGAGAGAATTTAGACTCTGATATATCAACACCAATATCCTGTACATAACAAAAAATGGCAGTCTCAGAAATGCGATCAGGAGCCAAAGGCATCGATTATGTCTATCATTGTCACAACGCTACGATGACAAAGAATATGCTATTTGCGAAATCAAAGCGGCCTCACCTACAGGACCCCTTGATTAACATCTCTAATCCTTCCTACTGATTAGGCGAAAAGGAGCACGCGATTGAAAGCTGGTTTCGAGGCATTGATTGAACAACAATTCAACAATATCACCCCGCAGAGACAAGATTGCTAATTGGAGGAAAATACTGGAGCTGGAACTGGTCAGAATGAAAGCAGATAATGCACCCCTTACACTGTTAGAATTATTGTATCACACTTCAGACAGAAGTAATTCGCAGAATATATCAATTTGGAGTTAGGTTACTGACGGGAAATCAGTATATTTTATTGCTCGACGCCCAGAACCAAATTTATCTCTGCTAGCATCTATAACGAAAAATAAAAAGCCGGCTAACCCCATTTTATTGCCAAGGTTTCCTAAGACTAGAAGATTTAGAAAACTAGAACGTACGCACAGGGAAACTCGTTTCTTTTCAACATCCGTTTGCACAATTTTTATGAAAAATTTCCTCTTGTAGAAAGGATAAAAGAAGAAACCGGAAGAAACTTTGAGGAATGTGCAAATTAGGTAACTACCACACTGATGCCATCAGTTACATGAGGATAACGATATGAACATTTGATATGAAAACTTGAGAGGTGAATACCACACTGGTGCAATCAAACAGTTACAAAAGGAGAAAGATACATTGGAGCATCTGGAAAAAAAGAGTCCTTCCTAACAGGAGTTTCAATAAGAGTCGGTTATTGGCGGTCTACTGCCGCCTGTAAGACCTCTCATCGCTGTATGTTGAGTACGAGCATGCTCTCGTGTACTACCGGCAGCCGCCTATGGAATAAGTTACTAAGACTCGTGTCCTTCACCCTTCTCACCCCTCCTACAGAAATTAATGTGAAAACCATAAATTCCTTGGTGCGTTATTAGCAGCATTCGAGCCACCAAAGGAAAAATGTTTATTCTCAACCAGCTGAAATCGAGAATTTTCTTCATATAGAATAGAAAAAAATTAAATTTGATGGCAAGGAAAATCATTACCAACCTGCAATTTGTATTTGTGTAGGAGTGGATCTTAATGCGTGTTTATTCAGGTACCGGTCAGAGTTTTCCTTGGTGTGCTTACACAACGTAATAACCATAGATTCTCTGAACTATGGAGAGAGTAGAAAGAAGTTGATTCATTCCAACGATGCAAAACATACAGGTATGCTTTCTGATGACTTTTTTTTTTCAATAGAAATCAGTTCCAAAGATTTAGTCTTTACAGGAATCAAGGACATTTAGCATTCTACTCACACAATGTTTTGACTATAGAATCTCTGAACTGGAGGAAAGTTTGAAGAATTTCATTGACTAAAACGACCTTAAACACCAAAGCATACTTTCACCTAACTTCTAATTATTGAATTTCAGTTTCACGCATTTTTAAATTACAGCAGATGGTTACAGCTCACCGTATCTTCTAAGACGCAAACATTAAAAAAGATAAAGAATCCTTGTAGCGAATTCAGTATGGTAAAAATGTAATGAAAAACAACTGTAGAGGAAATGAACGTCAGAAAGCCAAACAACCACGTGACTCCCAATAAGGGCAACAGCATTGCTGAACGACGTAACCAAGCCCTCACGTGCTTAGCACGTGTTATCTTTTCTTTGGACCTTGAAGCTCTGCTTATACGATGTAGCAGGACAAAAAACAAAATCGAGTTGATCTGAAAAAAAGGACAAAGACATGTTATATAATTTGTTAGTTATCGTTATTTGTTAAATTTATGAAATAGCTGACATATTTTGAACTTTCTGATTATGTGATAAGTAACAAAGCGGGTTTTATAAAAGATTTATGATTTTGTGATGGGACTGTTACATTGCGTTGACAGAAAGGTGGAAGATTACATGATTGCAGACTGTTCTGATATTCTTTATGAGAAATGTTGACTTAGCAGACTTCTGTCGTTCGACTTTTAACGCTTCGGTAACGATAACAAACACCCTAGCTGTATTATCTAGATTCAAATTTAAAAGAAGATTTTATTTGTTTCGAACATTCTTTGCACATTATTTGGAGAAACTCGCCGCATATTTCCAGGTCTTAGTGAGGACTAATTCTGAAGTGATGCGTTTAGACCAATCGCGTGTGAGTGAAAATGCTTGGTGAGTCATAAAATAAATAATTTAAACAAAACACCACTAACCAGCACGATTATCGCAACTGGGACAACGAAGGTCCAATAATGGAGGCTTACTGCAGTGACTGTGCATAGCATCTACGGACAAAAAATAAAGAGATCAGTTTTCTAACGCGGAGGCCTGGAAGTGAGCACAGTGAACTACGAATAGAGAGATAGAGAGATATGGGTTTGAGATCTGGCCGGGTCACTATGTTTCAATCACGTGTGAGATTATTTGCTCCCACAATTACACACTCCATTTAAGAGTATAAATGACTACCGGCGAAATAACAGATGAACCCAACGAAATAATGGACGTAGCCTGATGTTATTAATTCTGTGTCGAAAACAATTTTTATAAATGATTGAGCAGAGAGTGGGGAGGTAAAAAAAAACCTGCAGCTATCTCAATGTAAAAATATATATAAAGGTCCATATCTTATAGTTACCTCTTTTTTTTTTGCATATCCAACCAGGATGATCAAAAAACAAGAAGCAGCAATGGCCACACAAAGATTCAGTAACATTATGACTCGAATACTCTTTACTTGTTTCCAGCACAAAACAACCACCGTAAAGGTCAGCAGAAGGAACAGTAGAGAGCATGCGCAGCCTATCGTGGAAATATACTCAAGGTTGTGTTGATGTTGTGCTTGCACCTAAAATGAAAATAGAAAAATAGAACAAAATAGAAAACATTTTATTCAACATTAGTATAGTTCATCGCATAGGGCCTCAGAAGTTGCGATTTCTGAAACCTCTGTAAAAGCAAGTGATATTATTCCTCAATTTTAGGGAAGCAAGCGATTACTTGTGTATAATATAAAGAGCAAACTTTTCTTTTATTACGAAGGTCAAAAACGCACGCTGCTATGCGCTTTCGTGGGAAGCCATTTCATTGTTCTGTTAGCGTCGATGAAATGTAAAATGCGCGGATCAGCTAAGTGAAATCTTGTTTTTTACACAACAACGCCAAAGCAATGAAACCAGCCCATTTACACTGAGGCAAAGTTAAGCGTTTTAAAATGCTTTCTAAAAATGCCCTCTTTTTCAGCCAATCAGCAATCTCTGCCTGGTTAAAAGAAACTCAGAGCATCTCCTTTCAGATGATATAATGAGCAGTAACATGCCACATTATGAAGCTTACCAGCTCGAATAGCCAGAGGGAAAAGTTTTAAACGTGAGCCGTAAAAGCCATCACCCTATTGAGACCCTCAACTCAGAGACTAAGGTAAGAAACATACCGTGTAAAGAAATACAGAATTAAAAATTGTGAGATACATAATGAACTTACCGGCTTGTTTTTCATTAAAATAGCGAAGATGGTCAAATGATCGCACTCGCACGTTGTGACTTTAGCATTTGATTCATGATCCACACGTGTACAGCCACGTGTAAGCCACGTTCGCTGCGATCGGCCAATCTCCCAGAATACGCACTGTCCAATCAAATTACGGCTCTGCAAACGATGTCATACGATTGTATATAACACCACATTAAATCAGTGCTGTTGACATTGATTTATCACCTTTTTTTCATTAATGCTCAGTGCTCATATTGCCCATACCTGATTGTTACGTTTAAAAACCAGTTTAACTGGTTTTGCCAATGGGAATTTTGGAGTTGGTAGAACCGTAGCTGAGATGATACTCGAGCCAATCGTCTGCAGCTTTCCCCCTTCCTTTTGAGCTTCACTGAATCCCTTCTCCTTAAGTCTAAACACGTTATGAAGTGTTTTGTAGACGATGGTCGACACACGGCTCCCTGGGGGATCTAAAAACATTGACCCAGGAGCAAAGAATGTTGCACCGTGCTGAGCGAAATTCACATGAAGCTGGAAACAGAAATAAAAGAAGATGTTTGGTTGGATCAATTTAATCGAAAGTAATCTGAGCTTGCATTTTTTTGCTTTTCGCTCGGTGATTGGTCCAGAAAACACGCACCACTCTCTCAACCAATCAGATGAAAAATTTAAACCAATCACGACCTAGTTGCCTGCTCTTTCCCGCGCTTTAGGCAGCTTGGTTGTTTTACTTTGAGTTCTCATTGGCTCTTAAAGGTATTTTTATCTCTTCTGATTGGCCGTTGCGATTACTTTGGTTTTGGTTTATGGCACGTAATCAAAAAGCGCTCTCTATGCGCAAGACAAGACGCGCTTGTTAAGGAAACAACACGTTGGATTTACAGGGGAAATGATTCTCTTACAGTCCGCCTCGTAGCCATTTCTTGACGGTCAGTGATAATGCGTCAAAGGAAGTGGGAGGGAAAAAAGAGAGCAAACCAAAAGTATGCTACTGACTCACCGTTTCATTCCGGTTTAAGCGATCAACTCTGAAAGCAATGTTTCTTGATAAAAGGACGAAGGAGGTAGAATTAATTGATCTACCAAGCTGACTGCTTACTTGAGAACCAAACTCTTCCATCGTCTTTAGTAGTAAACCGATGATGTTTCCTTGATTCTGAACATGTATTAAGTATGAAAGGTGATGAAGGTAAGTTTTGAAAACATGGTATAGGTTGATGGCAATGCAATTAAGTGAGATCTTTGTCCTCTTTGCATGATATATTGTTCCTTGAACTATTTCTGTATTTTTAACTTGGGCTATTACTGATACATCATCTGATTATTTTAAGTCACGTGATTGCAAAAAAAAAGGGACAGCAACATTATTTAGAAATATTCCAAAGTGGGTCTTTATCGAGGAGTCTTTCTCCACTGTCAGTCAGTCAGTCGGTCACTCACCCATACCGTCAGTCTGTGAGACAGTCAGTCAGTCACTCAGGCCATCAATCAGTAAAACAGTCAGTCAGTCTGTCACTCAGGCAGTCAGCCATTCAGTCAGTCAGTTGGTCAGTCTGTTAGTCAGTGAATCAGTCTGTCAGTCAGTCATCAGCCTATTAGTCACCTAGACAGTCAGCCATTCAATCAGTCAGTTAGTAATTGCGGCTGTCAACCTTCAGTCAGTCAGTCTATCGGTCAGTCATTCAAACGATCAGTCGTCCAATTGGTCAGACAGTCATTCAATAAATCACGAAAGTGATACCATTATGAGATTTAGCAAAATCCAACAGCATTACCTCTTCTAACATTAACCACGTTTCCACATTTTCTTCATTCAGTAAATTACTGGCTACTTCCAAGACGTTACGTTGGTCGGCTGGTGTGGTAATGGCAGTGTGGTTCTCCAAGGAGTTGTACGTCACTAGTTTTTCTAGTATATCCAAGGATAAAGAGAGCTCGCTTGCGTTAACTTTCAGCTCGTTCCCAGGCTTTGTCAGTTTGACAAGTTCAGTAAGGACTGTACTAATGTTGGTGGGTTTGTCACCGATCAAAAGAGCTTCAACCTGAGTGTGAGACAACTGATACTATTATGGGGATGGTAAGGCACAAAATACGAACATGGAAATACAACATTATCAAACGTAAGCCCTTGTAAGGCCTATTTACACGGTACGACTTTGTCGCGTGCGACAAGCTTACGACAGGCCTACGACATGACTTAGGACAATTTACACGCGCACGACATTTTCACCTACGACATGCCAAAATCGCGTGCAATTCCACTCGTTTCGGCCGCGGTCATTGTTTCAATAATTTGCAAGAGAAGGAAAAGAACCTCTTCCTCGCTCCACATTGATATCATATTCTCTGTTTCCTCATCTGAGAATGTATTTTTCGCTTTGGAAGCAGTCTTCGACTTTCCGGAGGCGACTTCCTCCGCCATTTTGACGCAAGAAAATTTCACCTTCCTCCCCTACTCAGTAGAAATTTGTCACAAAATACGTCATTTTCTATCAATTTCGGCTACGATTGTAGCAGCGTTTTAAAACATGTTTTAAAATCCTACGACATTTTTCGTGACGTGCACGACAGTCGTAAGCGAGTGGTAGGTTTGATTTACACGATACAATTCGTGTCGTAGGCCTGTCGTAAGCTTGTCGCATGCGACAAAGTCGTACTGTGTAAATAGGCCTTAGGAGATAGGGTAGACAAAGAAAAAAAAAAGCCTCCGCAAACATGAAAAAAAAAAATCAAATATCGAATGCAAACCTGCGACTTCACTTTGTTGTGGTTAACATTTTAGCAGTTTCCGTGAATGAAAAAAGTGACGAATTTCCTACCGAGATTGACCAAGAGAAAATGAGGGTTGGGTTGACTCAGCGTTCTTTAGATATAAATTGGGTCCAGAACTCAATCATCATGTGTTTCTAAGCTGTAGTCTTACGAAGAAAAAAACCAATGTCATACATAGCAAATTCTTAATGATCAATAGCAATCAAATACCTGCAGTTGTAGGCTTGAAATCAAATTTGTAGTTGTTTGTGTGAATAACCGAGGGGAGGGCGATGGCTGCTTTGTTGCCACAATCGCTGTAGTATACAAAACCATGCTCACGCTGCTCGGCGTATCACCTCTTCTCGTGATACTAATTGTCGTGACGTTACTTTTCTTGACACCATTTGTCGTGACAGGGCTTGTCGCAACTCTATTTTTTGCGACATTACTTTTCGTGTCACCATTTGTCTTGACACTGATTATCATGACGCGACTTGTCGTGACACTACTTCTCGTGACACTACTTCTCGTGACACCACCCGACGTTGTACTATTTGTCGTGACGCAGCTGATGGTCACATTGCTTTTTACGACACTGCTTTTCGTGTCATCGTTTGTCGTGACACTGATTGCCATGATGCGACTTTTCATGACACTACCTGCCATGACACTACCTGTTGCTGCACTATTTGTCGTGACGCGACTTGCTAAGATACTGCTTTTCCGGACATTACTCGTCGTGATGCTACTGGTTATGACAGGATTTGTCGTGGCACTCCCTGTCGTTATATATCTTGACTTGACGCTATTTGTGGTGACGCGAATTGTTGTGATACTGCTTCTTGTGACATAACTCGTCGTGACGCTATGTTTTTGTGCACGACTTGTCGTGACACTACTTAATATTACACTTCTTGTCGTGGAGCTTTTTATCGTAACGCTGTAAACAAGTCTAGTATGACTTGCTATGAGGCTTGTCATGGCAGTTTCTGCGACACTACTCGTGGATGTGACTCCGTTGGATGGATCGTTCCCTGTTTAAAGCAAACAAACAAACAAAGATATCTTGTCCGCTGCACGGCTATCTAAGCTTTTGTGGCATAGGAATTATTCATAAAGACAACATGAGTTCAGTTATATCATTACAAGATGCCATTTGAAGGTCAACAAGGACTGCCAATGAGTAAGTTTGGCCAAATGTTTTAAGATGCGCACTATGTGATATAGTTCCTTTAAGCAACTCTCTTAGCCTTCTGTTACCCTCGGAGACTGCATGTACAGGAAATGTGTTAACATGGCTTACAAGGTTAATCTCGTACCCGGATCCTACCCTGAAACTGTAACTGAATGGCCGTGGAAGGTCTGGGTACGAGCCTAATTCAAGGTGGTACCCCGTTGTGCTGAATGCTTCCGATAATGCATTACTTTCGTTGTCGGACTATTCGGAGATGTACTGCCTATAAAAGGAACAATTTATCAGACTAGCGGTATGTGAAAGGGATGTAAATGTTTCAATTTCTCAAGCATTTCCCCAAAGAAATCTATTCATCTTTATCAAGTGTTATCTTCAGATATGAATTCGTTTAAATTCCGTCTTTCTGACAGTTTATGCCCTTGAATCTCTTCTTTAAGGGTTTAAGGGTTGCTTGGCAACCATCCTCAGGGACCATTGACTATTTATCCCCGGGGGAGGTTCGAGGGATTTTGGGGGACCAAATGGTTTTTAGGGGGAGGAAAGGAATGGGACTTAGTCGTCTTCAGAAGTATAAAAAGGGGGGAGACAATAGTAAATTGGCTGTCAATTAACTCCTAATAAGGTGCGGGGGAAGGGGAGGGGAGGGAGGGAGGGAATTAAGAATAATTCAGAGCCACCAGGCCATAAATATTAAAGATGGAAATGTTAGATCCATCTTTTCTTACGTATTTTTAAGGTAGATACTTTTAACATCTAGACTTAATGAAGAATGATGTACAACACTGCTAATTAACCACCGACCTATGACAAACAGTGTCATATTGCTAATGCTAAAGACGTCGGCTGAACCAAAAGTACACGTGTATTGTCCAGAGTCCCTTTGCCGTACGTGCTCAAGTAGCAGGGTGCCTTTCCCGTCTGCATTTAAGCGTGGGTCGTCATTCGGTATAGTCACGGAGTTTTTCTTCCAAGTGAAATTCGCGTTTCCTTGAAACTGGTCTAGGTTTCTGTCAGAGCAATTAAGGACGAGTCGATCGCCATTATTTACTCTCTCAGAACGGGAGGATTCGTAAATTCTCTGTCCGTAAACTGAAATAAAGAGACAGATGATAGCCAATTCAGTCTATCAGTCATGGAATAAGCCAGAAAAGCATCTTACCTGGCAGTTTGTAATTATGTACACTCCTCAGTCAGTCAAAATTATCACTGAGTCAGTCAATCGTTACGTTATTTTGTTATTCATTCAGCCTATCAGTCATAACACAAGTTCGAGTCAGTGAGTCAGTGAGTCAGTGAGTCAGTGAGTCAGTGAGTCAGTGAGTCAGTGAGTCAGTGAGTCAGTGAGTCAGTGAGTCAGTGAGTCAGTGAGTCAGTGAGTCAGTGAGTCAGTGAGTCAGTGAGTCAGTGAGTCAGTGAGTCAGTGAGCCAGTGAGCCAGTGAGCCAGTGAGCTACGTGTTTGAAGCACAGGATGTAAATCATTACAGGAAAGATTTATTTTAGAAAAATGATTTTCAGATCACGAAAGGACGTGGGCAACATTCGAAACACCTTTTATTTAAGTCGAAATATATTGTAACCCATTGAAAAAATCAGAGAAACATGTTCATTAGCTTCCTCCATAAGTAACATTAGAAGTAAAAATGCATCGAGAATCTTAGACGGAAATCAACTTAAAATTATCCGATAAGGGTTTTATTTGAGTCGAGAAAGTTTTTTCACAATTTTTAAACATAACGATTTTTTGTATTCTTAACTGTATTTTTTAGAATGAGTGAGTTTTGGGCATCCCGCCTCGTCTTGTTCACTTATTGGTATCACACGAGCGATAAACTTATTCGATATAAATTTTGTAAGACTTCAAAGTTAGGTAACCCTAAAAAGAAAATGAACCTTTGTTAGAATTTTATTGTAAAAGAGGTGTCAACAAGTGTAATGCCTCTGCCTTCGAGGATAAAAACAACTCACCGGTGAGTTTATTCTGAGGGAAATAACAAATTATATGAATGTTACAAGACTCTTGTGGGAATCAGACTGGTGGTGTAATTAAATTTCCAAAATACTTGCTTATAGTTAAAACAGGAGAAGATGACAGTGCATTTAGCATTCTATTTTAAGGACTTAAAAAAAATTGTTATCTCGTGGTGAAGGTGGTACATTTCTAAGTGATAAACGGCGTCTTCAGTTAGGCGTTGACTTTGACCTGAGGGTCAAACTGCAACGTGCAAATGTGATATTGTAGGAGAAACAGCAACGGATATATCTTAAAAAAAGTAATTTAAAGCATAAAACATACCGCTGGTTCCAGGATAAATTTGTAAGCTGATAAGTAGGACGCCCAGCAACGAATTCATGTCAAAGAAAAAACTGTGTCTCTCCACCTGCATTGCACTTGCAAAAATTGGATGAATTATGCATTCTTCGCATGAAATATTTTAAAAGGTTATGCAACACTTTGCATCTGCGACGAAGAAGAGCACTTATCAAACTGCCCTTTTTATTGCACGAATTGGATGTAAGGCCATTAGGTGTTTATGTTTCCGTGATGTTTTCCACATCATCTTGTTAAAACAGAGTATTTTAAGGGAAAAAACTCACCGGCTGTAGTTATTAAGGATAATGGTTTGGGAAACAAATGGAAATTAAAATTGGTGAACATTTGCATATCTAAAAACTTGAAAGGCTCTCCTGCATTTTATGTCACTTCGCTCTATTGTATACCAGTTTTTCACAAGGCAATTTTAATGTAAAATATTTTTCAAAATAGTCATTAGTGCTAATAGCGTAGAAGGCTATTAAAATATTTATTAAAAATTTGCATGTCGTCAACTGAAAGAAAAAAACATATTGACATTTTAAACTGTTTCTAATAATAAAAATTTCACGGTGCTGAAAAAAAAAATTGCGTAATTTAAGCAAACATGGAACACTTGGCTTGGCCTAGATAGGAGAAATATAGATTTGAATTCTAGCTGATTTATTTGACAGTTGCCAAAATTAGTTTTTTATTTCCATTCAAAGTTCATTATACTCTTCCAGTTAGAGGCTAGCCTGTGATGACAGCATAAGTTTAGCCGGAGGAGCACCAAAAACTTAATTTTTTTTCCAAAATCATGCAATGCGAATAGTGTACAAACAGCTGGCTTTAAAGATTTTGACGAGGAAACTTTCTGGATGGAAAACGTCAGCGAAATAATATGCACGAAATTTGAAAATCCATGCTAAACAACCTCAAAAGTGGTCCACCGCTCAAGCTCAGATTGGAGAATCAACAATGCATAAGAAAACTATTATTTATTTCAAGGAGAGGACTCATTGAGTGAAGAACACCTGTTGTCAACTGTTTATTAACCTCGGTGAGTCAAAGTTATTTGAGTTTAGCCGCTAAATATAATTGCTTAGGAGACTAGAAAAAATTATGCGATACCAGGGAATAAAACTAAAATATGTGAAAAAGGGATTCGAAATATAAAGTAACGCAGCCAAGAAAAGATGTTTAGGATGGTGTTGCACAATGCGGTTGGCTCATGATCGGCTAACGTGAGCTATGTTACCACTTCAATTCTCGCGAAATGCTCGTAGCTGGCCAGCCTATACATTATGCACTTTTTCTATAAAACGTTTCCCGACAGTTTTTAAAGCTGTGTTTTCTCGCGAAAACCGAAAAAGGAAATGGATGTAGCTGGCCAGCGTATACATTATGAATTTTTTTCCATAAAACGTTTCCGAAAGTTTTCAAAGCTATGAACTAGCGAAACAGTGCAACCGTATGTCTCGACGAAGCCAGAAAAGATGAAAACCATCAGCGATTTTAATTAATTTCTTTTTAGGGTCTTAATATCGAACACTGGCCTTCAGTCCCGGCCCATGAATCAACCATAGAAATATTCAGCCGCGTTGACCAAAGTAGTCACAAAAGGCCAGACATGAAAACATAATGGAGACATCAAGAACTGCTTACAGTTCCTCTTATCGAGATTGAGACCCTCATAATACCGCAAATGACACTATATCAGAGGAACCTCGCACCGACATTAATAACACGAAATAATTACGCCGTAAAAGTTACATTCACATCACTTGTTTCTTTTTTCGAAATGATATGTTGGACTTCTACGTAGAGAAGCGGAAGGCGCTGACACTCCTCGTTAAAAAAATTCTCACTTAACTGAAAGGCTTTTGCAAGGCAATTTAGCCCAAATCTCCTGTTTTGGAAAAGCAAAGTAAACAAAATTATATGCAACGATTGTGGGTGAGAAAAGTTTGACGTCAATGAGGATATGATTACTAAATGTTTACTCAAAACTTTTCATATCAATAGAAGTTGAATGTTTAAGACTGCCGCTGGTAATTCTGGTAGATTCGATACCTTGCGAATTCATTAATGTACCATTACGACGGATTAACTTTTCCCATAACCTTTTTGTTTAAAATTACTTCTTTATTATCTATAAATATAGAAAGAGATTTATCGGAACAAACACCAGATGATTGGGAAGTGTGATAATCCATTAGAATCTCTGGTGATTGACTCCCATTCGGGTTGTTACGAAAATAACTTTCTTTCGGAATTAACCCGTAACATTCTCCACTTTTTTAAACTTTCTTGAGGTAAGTGGCAAATAACCCATTTCCCAAAGAAACAAAAGAAAAGAGAGAGTATACAAATTATATATGGTTTTTAACAATAACATTATTAGTTATGATGGATGACCCCTGCGGAGCTCTGATGTCATTCGTGTTTAAGTCACACTCCGCCAAGTAGAAATTAAGATTTTTTTCCTGTGATAAAGAGTTTTGTGGCTGGGAGGGTTTTTAAGAGAGGAATAAAAGTTTAAGGTGAAATAATCAGGTTGAAACATCTCGCAGCTTTACAAAGTTTATTGTTTGATTGACGGATTTGATTCGCTTCCCATCCTCGTTTTACACTAGATGTAATAAGTTTGAAAACTGAGCGATCCTCTTGGCACGCACGCTTCTAAAATCACGTTTGAAAATGGTTGAAACAGAACAGAGTGGCTACTGACAGGTTTCCTAAAATTATCATGACGATGAAATTATCATTAGCCACCAGATTTAAAGGGAAAATATCTATATCTTGGTTATAGACTCGAGGACCAATTTTTTTTTCAAACTAGGCATTGTTATTTTAATTATAGTGTCCAAAAAAAGCTTTTGTAAAATATTAAAACGCGCGCCTGTCGTTCGTAAAAATGTATTTTCGAACTGGATAGACATTTTTAACTTCATACGTCACAGATTGGTCACGAGGTCTGAGATGAGTAAACAGCAGTCGCGGCCATAAATAAATTAACTGCGAAGCGTGAAGAGGTCCAATATTATGGCGTTTGTGACAATTACAATGTTTCCACAACTTCCGTTTTGTCTTTTCCTAAATACCCTAGGGATCCTAAGACTCAGAAATTAAGTATCCATGCTATATTTCATCAACTGCAAGTCGCGAGTAAAATGATCAGAAAAATGATTTCGTCTCGTCTCGATTTTTAAATGTTGTTTTTCATTTTCTTTTAAAACAGATATGGACTTTTAGGGTCAAAAAAAGATCCAAATTAAGATTTAAGAATAATACCTAGTGCCATACTATGATCTGAAATTTTCGAAGACGATCTAAGTAATTGAAAAATGGCACCTGCCCTTCTTTGTTTTTATCATGGTAAACGAAATATTGTTTCGTTTCCGGCAAGTTAATTGTGGGCGCGGTTGTCACAGGTCAGGAACAGCCGGGAAAAATAAATTACTCCAAGGCCAGGGGAAAGAAAAGGAACTTCACTCCGAGTCAGGGAAGATTTATATCGTTGAAAGAAGTCTGGGAAAAGTGAAAGTAAGTATGAAGTTGTTCATCTTGTCTTGGTCATCTTCATGGTGAAAGGTGGTGACATTTTTTGTGATGTGATGCTAATTACGTGCATTCTTTAGAACAGTCGAAAGATTCCTGACCATGAATGTGGCAACTGTGATCGGAGTGTTTTGTTATAAAACTTCCACTGTTCTGTTTCTTTCCGCTTCTCCTTTAACATATAATAAGCTTACTCCTGTCGTGAACATGTTTACTTCGACAATCTGCTGACTGGTTTCACCGAATGACGCACCGAATTTCTGGCAATCTTGTTGTTTTAGGCAGTCCTCGCTACTCGCACTCGATCAGAGCGACAGTTGTCAAGTGTTAAATGATAAAATTATAAAATTATAGTTAATCTACAATATCATGAGGGTTTCCTTGTATTGGTGTCGAAAAAAGGAATGGAAATATTATATTATTTTAAGTCATGTAATGCAAATTATAAAAAGGGCAGGTTGATTACTCTTTACTCCTTCTTGGTGGTCTTATCTTAAAGGTTGAGTTTGGTCACGTTCTTCTTGTGAGTTTGGTCACGTTCTTCTTGTGAGTTTGGTCACGTTCTCCTAGTGAGTTTAATCACGTTTTCCTCGTTGTGATCGTGAGGTTGACATGGAACTCGTGATAAGCCATGTTCCTAATTGAGTTAATTTGTTAGTCCAGGAAGAGTAAATCTCCCTGATAATAGGTCGCGTTCGACACTTTCTTGACCCCAGCGGTAATTTAAGGTGTAAACAGGTGATACCCCTCATGTCTCGCAACCAAAAGCAATTTGGGGGGCGGTACTTGTGAGCGCCTTTCTTCTTTAACTCTTGTGACCAAAATGTTGTGATGTAACAATATTTAAAGGTGATTTTCTCTTAAAATACCCTTTCAAGTATAAATATTACTCTGAACCAAGGTTATTTGTAATTTTTATATTATCGATCTCGTTTCTGTTCTGGCCGATCTCAAACGTTAAGATACGAAAATTAAGGTAGAAATTGATTTTTTAACTGCATAAACAACTCGAAGGTGCATACTCAGTATGTGGGAACTGTAATACGTAGTCAAGCGTGATTCGCTAGTTGAGATGTTACGATGACGACACTAGAAGATTGACGGCTTAGAAATGTCATCCGCAGTGTCACCTTCATAAGCGGAGACTCTAATTTTCCCTGTCAGATAGGAGCTAGTCCCCGTTGTATCAATTTGTGAAAAAAGAGAATAAAGAAGAATTAACCTATCAAACGAAGAGTGTTAGAAAATTTACTTCTAACACAAGTTTTACCGCAGCGTGCTTAAGTTAAAAAAGAAATAGAACGGAAATCGAAGTTACTGGCCAGTAGGATTGAACTAAAGGTCTGTCACGGGGAAACTGTTTATAGATAGTTACTCGCAAAATATGTTTTTGTTGTGAGGTTCCTGAAACTCCGCAAGACGCTTCTGTGTTTCTATTGGCAGTCGGCTTTTCGAGTTTTCAGAGTTTTGACATTATTTGACATTTAATCACCCAAA